GTTTTTCCATGTCTGTGAGCGAAATTTGACATTCTAAATTTATCTTTTAATTCAGGTGGTTTCCACATCACTGTTATCAGACCAGCAGGCTTCACTTCCCGAATCCCAGGAGATGCAAACCAACGGAGCTGCAGCAGCAGAGGACAGTCCGCTGGAAGCTGACCTGTCTGACTCCTCAGACTCTGAGATGGAAAACGATGACGCTGCAGCAGATGGTGAGTTGTGTGCATGCCTGGGTGAATTTGTTTGTGTGTAAATTAACTGTTAATATTCCCAAGTGGGGCACTTTTTAAGGAAAAAACATCATATGCTTATAGATATTCAGTTGAATTTCCATCTAAGAACTCCTCATATCTTGAATGAAAGCATCTGAGTTTGACACGTTTCTCTAATCATTTATTAAATTTTTTTCTCTTGAATTTTTCACTTATTTGTGTGTGTGGGAGTGTATGTGTGTGTTTCAAAAGTGTGTGGCTAACACCTGGCCCTGTGGAGTTTCAGATCTGGCAGAGAGTGTGTCAGGTGTGCTGCAGTGTGAGTTCTGTGGGAGCAGAGGCTACGCTTACACATTTCTGCGCTCCAAACGCTTCTGCTCGATGACGTGTGTCAGAAGGTAAATACACCCACACACTCAGTTCAAGAAATCAGCAGGAAAAGCATCAAGTATCAGTCTGGCCCTCTGAAATAATGTCATTATTTTTTTTAAATTGCAAACCCTGCCTTTAATTATAATAATACTCACGAAATAAACCATCTTGAAGTCTCTTCCAGGCTTTTGATATGAATGCACTATCGACTGTTGCTGAGTCATTTGTGCTTAACAAAGTAAAGTGCCCTGCTGTTTTAGGAATGGACAGAGTATTTTCTTTCAAACTAACTCTATTCATTTTTAATACATTGTTTAAGACGTACGTCGTCATAAACAAATGGCCACTTGCTTTTGAGTAGTGAAGTCTGAAAGTGTGGAGAGATGGACTCAAACAGTTTGACCTTTCAATGTCATTTGGCAACAATCAGATACATGAAGAGCAACACCAAAGTTATAGTTTAAAATAAGGACAGGAGTTTTTTTGTATACGATTTTGTTGGATGAATATCATTTAAAAAAAAGCAACTTTAAATTTGTATTGGGCTTTAAAGCTTGTCTTAAATCCAGTTTTGTTTGCGTCTGGAACATGATGTGGAAACACTGTGTAAGACTCATGAATGACTAAACATGCCCTCAAGCAAGGTGCTGAAACTTTGGCTGGAACAGAATGTATAAAAAGTCAGAGTTTTGCTGCAAAAGAGCATAATTTGTTGTATAAATGATGATTAAGAAAATCTGAATTATGTTTATCACTTCAATCAGACAAAAAAATGTCTGTCTCATTGGTGGTAAAAAAAAATGTGATCTGACATCTGGAATCTATTTGGCTACATTTGGGTTATAAGAAACAGTCTCAAGAGCATAATCACAACCGGGTTTCTCTTTGAGACAACTCGAGGCATTAAAGAGAGGACAGCTTAAAGTCCAGAGCTCAACAAAAGCCTGTCTTACTGTCTGCACTTGGCACATCATGAATAATAAAGTCTCAAAGGGCTGCTGGGCTTCATGGATGACATCCTGACTGCAGGGCCATCGCTACACAGATGTGATCATCTGCAATGGACTGCATGAAGGGTTTGAATCTCTCTGAATATTTGAATGTGTGTGTGTGTGTGTGTGTGCAGGTTTAGTGTGAGCTGCACCAAGCGTATCAGCATGCTGGGAGCAGGGCGCTGGGGTCACAGGCCGATGGGCAGGAGAGGACGACCCCCAGGCAGAGTCAAGGGAGCCTCCAGAGAACATTTTCTGAGACAGGTCAGTTAACATCAGCGACCCGCTGCGCACAACAACATGCTGAACGTGCTGCAGGGATCACTGGTCCTCTGAGACGGGCCGCTCTCGGGGGAACAGTTGCATCTGACAGCAGAAGAGTTTTAAAGGAGAGCAGTGAAATATGAATGCATTTCTAAACTTTAGCAAAATGGGAAAATGTCCATATCTACTGAAATTCCTTTACGGTAAGAAGCACCATGGCACATTGACCCATCTTGCTTGAAAAATTGTAAATTCCTCATTCTCTTTTATTTAACCATTGAATGAAAGTATGTAGATGTAATATTTGTCTGATTGTCTTTGTGTTCCACAGACTTCAAGGTTGCTTGGTTCGGAGGAGGCCCTTCAAATCTCACTGAGAGATGAGGGGGACCTGGACAATGAACAGGAGGAGGATGAGCCTGCCGTTCCCATGACAACCAGGCTCCGGAAACAGGCCGAGAGACAGCGAGAGAGGGAAAGGGAGAGGGAGAAAGAGCAGGAGAAGAGGGTGACGGAGACAGTCTGCCTATCTGACAGGGAGGAAGACGCCGTCTCTCCGTCTCACTGGAACGTAGAACAAGTGTTCTCTTTTATCAACTCTCTGCCAGGTACTGCTGGGACATGAGCAAACCTTCTGACAGTAAACATGACAGAGACACTTGCATACTATAAATGAAGCTAGCAATCAAACCCTTGGCCTGTGCAAATATGTGAGTGAAAAGAATAATTTTCCTGTCAAAGAAAAGGAAGATAATGACCCCCCAGAATGATAGTTTGTAAAAAGTAAAGTAGGTTGCTGTTTAAATTTGACGTGTGGCGACATGTGGAAAAAAAAGTTATTGTAGAATAGAGAGATTGTAAAATAGATGAGTGTAAGGCAGCAGGAGAACAGGGGGACACGAACTTTAAGATTGGTTTAAGCAGGAAAACCCATTTGAAACAAGGGGAAGACAAGGGAAGAGGAGCAATATGTTTTTATCAAGAGTATCAAAAAACATCCAGGAAAAATCTTTACATTGTTTACAAAGTCGCGCACATTTACTTTTGCTGCACTGCTGGTGTTTTCAATGACATAAAAAAAAGGAATGATCTTTTGTGCATCAAAACTGCAACCACTAAGGTACTTTAAATATCCCCATAAAAGGTGAGGTAGACTGCTGTATTGCCGTTGAAAGAATGTACTATGTTCTTGCAGAAACGTATTTGTAGTTTGTATTCACCTTCCACATCCACGTCTTCTCTTTCCTCCAGGTGGTCAGGATGTGGCCCAGGAGTTTCGTTCGCAGGAAATCGACGGACAGGCTCTGCTGCTGCTCACAGAGGAACACCTGGTCAGCAGCATGAACCTTAAACTGGGACCCGCACTGAAAATCTGTGCACACATCAATTTGCTGAAAGATGCATAAACAATGAACATTTCCACACACAAGAACGGAATAGTTGCTTCTATCTGGACCAGGATGAGGTAAACAAGAAACTCTTGTTTATTCCTGCAGAGGTAACACGCACTGTCGATGTGACTCGATCTTAAACAGAGCGGATTATATTGAACTGAAATATCAAATGTACAGACTGCCATTTTCTCAGACAACTGTCAAAGTTTCTCTCTCGGCGCCTCGGCCACACTGACGACTCCACACACTGCCACAGCTGGTTTCGACACACAGATGAGCATTTCCTTTTATCGCCTCTTGTCATTACATCATACTGATTGTAGCAGTTTCACTCTGATGATCCATTTGTTTCAAAATGGTTTCAAAATATATTTTATCAGTAGTATGGAATCCTTGAGAGACAGGCTGTGCAAAAGGTCCAGTGATCCTTTAAAGTGTCCTGTATATGTGGAGAATACGTTTTTATCTTGTTGTTACGACTGAAGATGACTGAGGTTACTGCCATGATGATGATCTTTCTAAATCGTTCTTCGGAAAGGCTGTTTATGAATGTGTTACTGCAGAGTCTTTATTGGGAAGTCGTACAACCAAAATGTATAGCAGAAATGTTACAGATTTTATTTTGTGTTTGAAGTTATGTCGACATATTTTTTTTTTAGCTTATTTTTTAATAGTACAGCTACAGAGAGACAGGAAATACAGGGAGAGAGTGGAGGATGATGTACTGAGTAGCTTCAGGGTAGCTTCAAGGACTTTGGCTTATGCACTGGGACGCCTACTTTACCAAACCAGCAGTGACCCAGTGTTGTTGAAGTTTACCATTACCAGTTCTTAGGTTGTAACACAGGTGAGAAAACACTTTTTTTTTTTTTTAAACTGGAATCATCTGCCTTTTTCCTCACTTGCCTCTCAGGGCTTCTGTACATTTGAATGTAAAGAAAACAACTCTACCTTTACATCCTCACACAAAGCAGTTAAGGTCTGCTGCCCAGTCTCAAAGTTTACAAAACAGATACATACTTACTATCTTACACATTTGATACACTTCATCAGGAAACATGCTTTTAATGGCTCCTGGAAACAAACTGATGACAATGTTGTTATTTATGAATTATTTATTAAAACCATAACTAACTAAAAAACGAATAAAAAGACTCAAATATGTTGAACTGTTTGTGGTTTATAGATAAAAGTGGCCAAATTTCCCTTCTGAGCTTTTCTTCAATTCTTTTCCTTGGACTATAGATCATGAGGTGATGTCATCAGAGTGTGGGGTAAAACAAATGCACGAGATTCAAATTCTTTAAAATCACAAAATATTAAAAACCCAATTATTAAAAACTTTTTCATAAATGTTACATTTGAATGAATATATCAACGAATGTGCTTTAGAGCTCTTAAAAAGATAGGAAAAGAAGTTCTTTCTCACCAACATCTTTGTTGGGACGGTCTACCCAGACCTTCAGGCGATTGGTTAATTTCTGTCGTTGTCTGATCACTAAAGAAAGTTGATGTTTAGGCTTTTGGATCCTCAGAGTGAAGTGAAAGATGAAACGTGTATTCTGGTGGACCACCATTGGAGGGAGCCCCCCTCGCTGCTATAAAGAGAACACATACCTTCTGTCTATCATTGAGGGGGTCTTTTCTGCATCACGACTGTGTGAAACAGAGATATAGTATGGAGAACAAATACAGAGAAAAGTACTCGAGAAATGTATTTCCCATTCACAAAAAGACGGCACATGAATAAACCTCAGTCACATTGATTCTTTTTTTTATTTGAAACTAGTTCAGACAGGATTTTATTTTACAGCTCTGTTACAACTTCGAGACAGGTTAAAATATATTTTGGAACAATGCTACAATCATTTAAGTGCAATTGAGTACATTTCCTCTCTACTGAAAAATACTACTGAATATATCACACGTTCTATGCTGTACATGGGGAATGTGAAACGCATCGATGGAATGTTTTGACGTGTGCAGGGACGGTCCGGATGAAAACACTACCAGAGTTACAGTTTTATACACAAAGGATTCCATGCACACTATTTTGGTTTACGAGGCTACTGTGCAAAAAGTTGTTGCGTTTTAAGACATTTAGCGATATCAATGTGATAGAAATGTCATGAACTCGATGACAGGTGAGTGCTTGCAGAGGCAATAAGGTTGATCAGTTTACAGGCACTGCAAAGATGAGTTTATACATTCTCAATCTGGCAACACTGCTTTGTTTGACAGGTCTGTTACTTCAGATTCAGTGTCAAACATATTCCTCTGAGGATTCCTGGAAGAAAGAGTTTCATTTGGCTCTAACCGTAGGTAAGATAGAGGGTGATCAGTCCCAATGCTAATCCTACATGCTAGCTTAAGTCTGAGCTATCCTGAATGTAAGACTTAGTCAGAGGGGAGTAAGTAAATCAGGCCCTTTAAACAGACACAAGTCAGAAGAGCTTTCGAGAGGGGCCTTACCAAAAGGAAAGCAGGAGAGCTTCACATGAAAACTGTCTCTTCAAACATTAAATTCAGCTTAAGGAACGGATTTTGCCATAATGATAATGGTGGAAAAAAAGTATTTACTTGGGTTAAATTGAGTGTTTGTTTTTATAAAAACGTATATGTAATTCAACAGTAAACTCAAAACAGCCAATAACAGCTCTCTGTCTCCAGTGACCATGTAACTGGGACCAAGTCTTCTCATAATTTCCAGGAAACCGTCAAGAACTTAGACCTGTCAAATAAAGCAAAAACCTTTATCTTTCTTTTTATATATATAGCTGATGGTTTATTGCATTCTTTAAAGTCGAAACACTTTCCTGACACGTGGAAATATGATGTCAGCTGCAGTCGAATCTGAAATATAACAAGATAAGTAACTACCCCTGAACTCTAAGCAAACCTCTCACAATATCTCTGTGAAGATTCCTCATATAGCTGGCTGATAACCTGAGGCGAGAGAAAATGAGCTGACACATATGGCTTTAAAAAAACAAAAACAAATGTGATCAAGGAATAAAGAAAAAATGAACGAATGTATTAACAATCTGCAATTCTAACTGCAAAAAAAAAAAGTTGTAATGGAAGGTTTAAACTGTGATGTGAGTAAGGGACATAACATCTCTAAAATGATAAATAAAGGTATAAAACACAGGAATGAGCCTTTTCAACAGGGAATGGAGTCAACATTTTACCTCTCTGCTTCTTGCACGTTCTCCCCAGCTTTACTTAACAAAGGGTGGAGCATGTTTCCTAATGGGTAGCAGCAGCAGAGCTTATGATGACGACTGACCCACTCCAACTCTGCGGTGCAGAGACACGAGCAGAGAAGACGGGCAGGACGATACTTGCAGATCACTTAGTCATTTGTTGGACTCCAGCTCAGCTCAGGGCATGCTTACAGAGCCGTGGTCTTTGTCTACGGATATGGACTTGACCAGCTCCTCCACCCAGCGGACTTCAGAGGCCACCTGCTCAGCCAGGACCTCGTAGCGATTCTCCAGGCGCCCAAACTTGCGCTTGAGGATGTTTGCGGCCTGCATGGTAAGCCGGGTCTCCTCCTGGCTCTTCTTGCGCTGGGCTTGAGTGCGCTGCAGCTCCTGGCGGATGTGGCTCAGGTCGCTGGAGATGCTCTGGTTCTCCTCTTTGTACCAACCCTCCTTCTCCTCGTAGATGGACAGCAGCGCCGCCACGTCCTCCCTGCACGAGCGCTGATTGCGCTCCAGATCCCTCAGGCCCTCCTCCGCTGCGGCGATCTCCTCAAGGACCTGGGAGAAGCGCTCAAAGTTGACGTAAGTATTGTTGGGTGGCATACTGGAGTGGGACTTAATGGTGTACTCCTTCAGACGAGTGGTTTTCAGGCGCCGGCGCTCAGTCTTGTGGTCTCTCTCCTCCTGACGGACATTTCGCCTCTTAATCACCTGGAGAGGGTTAAAAGAAAAAATACAAGTCTGAATATGGAGGACTACTCTGAATGATACTGGACTTTTTTTAGCCAATAGCAAGAATGATATATGAGACACATAAAAAAAACTCGTAATAACATACTTGAACAAACAAATGTTTTGCAGAGAATTCATTTTCTGTTTACGGTATGAGGAGAACTTTTCACTCATTGATCTTTAATTGAAAAACTATATATCAGGCAGACTGTTTCTTAACATATTAGAGGATCATTTGTGCAACTTCTTGTCACTTATTAGCCGAAATACACTGATGAGGCATATCTGCAACAAGCTTAATCTACTAATATATCTGTCCAGCTCTATTTGATAATGAGCGAAGAACAGATGTGCAGAAGCTCTTTTCAACAAGTAAAAAACAAACAAAAAACAACCAAACCATGTTTGAATAGAAGCATTGCCGCCCCAAATATCAAACCGGTTATAAAGTCTATGACAGAAGAACAATAAAACAAGACGTCTGCTAAGAATACAAAGAAATACAAATGAGTCTGGAGAAGATTTGTTAAAATTTCAGAAATTTAAAAAAACTGATAGAGGTCGACCTACACATAGACTTAGCATTACATTACTGTAAGAGCACATGTATTACAGGGCTTCAACCTGTAGAGCCTGATCAGAAACATTTTATATTTAAACTCTACAAAGAAGCCAGAAAGGAAAAGACATGGCAAACATAACTGATCATGTACTTTCTGTATGTTGAGGCACTTTCTCAGCAAACAGTAACACATCATGAGTTTAGCAGGTGGATCATGAATACTCAAAATGCACAGACCCATTCCTCAGCACTCTCAGAAGGTTGGCTACAAGTCTCTTATCATGAAAGACAATCAGTGAATATGAGACAATATCAGCAGGTGATTGAATTCTAAATAAATGACTCACCTTAATCCAGGGGTGTTCAAGACTGTCATCGATTGTCATCCTCTTTCTGAAAAATGAATACATAAATAAAATGATTCACCAGTGAGAAGCAAATACTTCAATGTGTAAACAATAAAGTTTCTCTTTTTTATTTGAAACCTAAAGAAAGTGCTTACTTTGGATCTTTAACCAGCAGGCGGCGTATGAAGTCTTTAGCCAGCTCACTGGTGTTGCTGAAATACTCCTCATCGAAGTCATAGTTGACAGCAGAGATGTTGGTCAGGGTCTCCTGTTTGGTCTCACCCAGGAAAGGTGAAGCCCCGCTCAACCTACAGGGACACAGATATGCTTTTATAAACCACATGAGATGAGCGGTGAAGTGGTTTAGGTTGCATTAAATGTTAAAGAACGGCCAGTGGTGAGATGAATGATTACTCACAGGATGTATGTGATCACTCCGATGCTCCTACAGAGAAGAGGAGAACCAAGCATGAATGAAAACGCTCACAATTGTGAGTAAATATCTTCAGATGGGTAAACTACAAGAAGGGAAAATCTTACCACATGTCTGCCTCCAGTCCAAGAGGCTCATAGTTGACTATTTCTGGCGCTGTAAAGCAAAGAGGAATGAACGCCTTAATTGAAACCAGATGTGGAGATCTGTAACATCCACTTACAGGGTTTAACTTACTCGCCAGCTCGCGCTCACAATGGAAACTTTTTACTCGGATATTACAAGAAAAAGAAAACGCGGTCTCACCGACAAACTCCGGTGTTCCAAAGATGTTCTTGAACTCATTTCCAGCTTTAATCTGATGAGCGATCCCGAAGTCGATCAGCTTGATTCTGGGGTTTGGGACATTCTTGTCTAGCAGCATGATGTTCTCAGGCTGAAAGAGGAAACGATAACAATGATGAGAAAATTGTTTCTCATGCAGTACACAAGTAAACATGAGAGCTATAAAGTAGGAAAACAGCTAAGCTTTAAAAGTTGTATTTTATTCGATCCTCTGTAAGTTTGGAACTATCTGAGTATTTACTGTTTGGTTATTATCTTTTTATTGTACTCTGTGAAGATGCTAGGTATCACATTATGCATGTCTGCACTTATTTCTGTCCTTGTTGTTCTGTAACACCTGAATTTGGGGATCAATAAAGCATGATCTCATCTTAATAACAAGCACCGCCACACTGGCATGTGCCACATTAGAAAGTGTGGCGTACCATCAGCCACTTTTTAATCTGGGCATCACTTCACTGAAAAACATTATCTGAAACAAAAATCAACGTGTTAAACTGTGAACGTGCCTGAAGCGTGGCAATAGCACTCGATTAGCGTAACTATCGAAACAAGAAAGAGGGATTTGGTCATCAAATGTTTTGATATTCTGTTCTGTAACACCTTTCCTAAAGGAGTCTATACGGAAACGTTGACTGTCAAGTTTCTCGACAAATACAATCTGATTTGATCTGAGATGGCTTCACATCTTTTTTTTCCGGTTTTAAACTTGTACTACATTAAAGTGGCACATTTTACCAGAAACACTTGACTATTAAAGCTGACTGAAATGTATTCATAGAAAGATATCTTGTCTGTAGTTTTCTTAGAGGATGAAAAATCTTACAAATTGCAAAAATCTCTCTGCACACAGCAGTGGAACATCCTTGAAAGTACGGCATAAACCTCTTTCCCCTGACCTCAAGTTCTCACTAACATGTCAACTACGACTACTGGCCCACAGCCTCAAAAACAAGCTGCTTTAACCACACACACTGCTGACCTTGAGGTCAAAGTGAGCGATGCGTTTGGAGTGAAGATACTGAACGCCATCCAGGATCTGCTTAAGGAACTGGGTGGCCTCCTCCTCCGTCAGAGATTCCTTCTCAGCCAGGAAGTCAAACAGCTCTCCCCCTGACACCAGCTCCAGGATCAGGATCACGTCCGTCTTGTTTTCAAAGATGTCGTGCAACGTGATGATGTTGCTGTGTTGGATCTCCCGCAGGATGTTGACCTCGCGCTCGATCTCCTCGCGGCTCACCCCTCGCCTACTGGACGACAGCCGCCGCTTCTTGATGAACTTCGCAGCGTACTCGTCGCCTGAGCTCTTCTCCTTGCACTTACGAACAATGGCAAACTGTCCGCTGCAGAAAGGATAGAGAGAAAAAAAGAAAAAGATTTAGAGCTTTTAGCCTTTTTTTTCTCCAGCCTTTTGTTATTATGATGATTCAATTCCTTCAAATACATGAGTCAAACAACTTTTCAATCCCACTTTGGAAGACTGGTATGGACAAATCATATATAAAAACATAAACACACACAACCATGACACACAGACAACAAATACACAAACACCTAAAATATGAATTGAGCTCTAAAACTTTTTCTGATGAATGACCAATGATCAACAAACTGGACAACGAGATAAAAGGATCAGACTTGATAAAAGGATGAGAGGATCAGTCTTGACAAAAGGATAAGAGGATCAGTCTGCCAAGGAAGAGAAAACCCATGGAGCAATAAGTCGTCTGATTGCAGAGGGGATGATCGAGGGAACGATTAAATAGCGGGTCAGTATTACAAACAGGTAAAAGATAGACGCAGTGATGGCAACAGAGGACATTCACTTGTGAGTTCAATGTTCAACCTGCAGCTCTCTGACAGAGTCGCAGGCTGCAAATGTATGGAAGGTCACTTTGATTCCCTCCTGTGATCTTCAGAGAGATTTTCATATTATTCCTGTTTTAAATGTGAGGCTGTGAAAGCAGCAGACAAACGCTCTGAAGACTCTCAATAAAGGATTTTTCAAAACAACAGAGGGTGATGGGACTGACTGAAAAGATGTTTTTAGCTGCTGGTAAGATTATACAAGCAATTTAAAATCATGATAGTAAGATTTTTTATCACACATACCTGATTAGGTCAGGTCTTTTTACAGGATTTGGCTTGCGCACCCTTAAAATTGTAGTTGGCCTTCATTTTGTCATAAACTTTACTAAAATTGTTTCATTCCAAAGGTTCACAGAGTAAGGAGTGAAAGATGTGTTGTACTTGTGTTGCAAAAAAAATTGGTTGAGAATCATTACAGAACAAAAAAACACATCTTTATCTGTCAGTAATCAAATCATTAAACATTATTTTCTTAAAATACAATCGGACAATTTTCCTCCTTACAGAACCAACTTGTTCAAAGACTTTTTTTGTAATTAGTCTGTAACGTATAATACTAACAGGAAGTTCTGTGCACATTATTAACAAGAAGAAATCCCTTAAATACCTGAAAAAGTTGACATAATGTACTGAACAACTACTTTAATTGTTTTAAGAACCTTTAAGGGGTTTAAATCTGGGGCACTTAATGACTTGGTACAAAGGAGGTCTTTACACTGATCTTATGACCTGTCAAATGCTGACCCCTAGGTTGTTAAACACATGGTATTGCATAATGGATTATTAAAGAGTTGGACTGAAAATGGTTCTTCGTTTTCAAAGGAGCAGGAAAATAAGCCGGAAAACTGAAATACTATGTTGTAACAGCACGTTTGGAATAACTGAAACAAAAACAAGCCTGATGTAATTTAGTGTGCAAGTACAGAGAAACTATTTCATACAACATGAGATAACTGCACAACTAACACACACAAACAAACCAACATACACACATACACCCACAGTGCTCTCTCCCACACCACAGCAGAGGTAGAAAGGCACATTGAAAGTCTGTGACGTCAAGCTTTTGCTGCATTACTGCAGAGAACAACAGCTCAGCTGGAGACAGCTTTATGTAATAACATCCAACAACTCATTCACAAACTATCAAGAACAGAGATAGAGGGAGACGTATCATTTTTCTAATACATCAAATATTTGTTTACCTTTATCAAATCGGATATTTTGGATGGCCTGCAGCTCATTCTTTCCTAAAATGCACCTCAAACACAAACTAATGTAACGTTGTGGGATTTTAATTGAGCAGCTCTTTGGAACAATCTTTAAACACTTTCTGCTTCACAGAGATAACTGAACTATCAATGAATGCATACATTCAGGAAACTGCAGTTTCAAATGCCATGTATGAATTTGTATTTACATTAAATTACAAATAAGGACATAAATGCTGATGGCATTTGGATTTGGAATTATTAATGCATCCTCCATAAATCTGTTTCAGGTGCATTCACACGAGTTTTATGGGTGTCATCTGAGACATTGGTCATCAAGGACACACGATACGACTCAAGTGTAAACAGTGTCTCTTTAAACAGTGACAGCAAGACTGAGTATCAAACAGATGCTTTACTTTAAAAAGGTATTCTGCCAGAGGTGAAAGAGACAATGAATCCGGAAACATACCTGCCCAGCTCCTCTCCCATCTCATAATAAAGCTCGACATCCTCTTGCCTGAAGCCAGCCATGGTGTGCTGACTGGAATAATGATGATGGGATGAACACCTTTTGATTCACTGCAGTAAAAAAAAAAAAAAAAAAGAAAGGGGAAAGATATGAACCAACTAAACACCAGCAGAGATTAGATAGATCTCAACAAAGCCACGTAATGTTAACTGCGATAAAAGTATAGGCTGTAAGCACACTCCAGCTGTGAGTACCCGGGTTTCTTTCCTCCTTATTTGGCCGGAGTCATCACAGCTTTAGTTTTTCAGACACTTTCTGGCTGATGTCAGACCTCTCGCATACCAGTCCTACTTACATCATCTCCTGCCCTCAACCAGACCATCTGACTCAATTAAAGGGTCTGAGGCTCAGCCACACAACACAGTATTTTATCATCTTAAGCCTAGAATAACATTTCCTAATCAAAAACTGTTAAATCTGTTTTTTTGTTTTTTTTTATTACTGGTGAGCTCTAATAAAAGCTGTGCAGCGACTCTGCTGTAAAGGCACAACCATCCAGAAGGACGTTTTTCTAAGCGAATGAAAAACTTATTTAATGATTATTAAATACAACAAAAAAGATAGACACACAAAAGAAACCATTGCCACTTATATAGTATTTCATCGTCGTTGAGATTCGAGGCACAAGAAGAGGAGATAAAGCAACAACCGGCGACGGAAGAGAGCTAGCTTAGCTGGTTGACATTAACTAGCTTACATTATTGTACAGTACAAACACCGGCTTTCTCTGTTTGTGGAGATTAATTACCTCGTAAAAAATATCCACCGAGATTAATAACACTAAAAAAAATGACGGTAAATAAAACAAGTGTAAAAAAGTGTTGATATAAGGCATACTTACAGTACGTTTGGCTACGAGTGCTGCATTCCTCTTCAAAGTAGTTCAGAGTGAATTCTCAGACTGGACGATGTCAAACTACACATCGAGGAAACCACAACTTCCGGTTTGTCTTCAAAATAAAATACGTAATGACGTATTCGGTGGTAAAGCGATAGGGGTGTGCTCTCACTACTGTGGTTAAAAAAAAATTATATCCTAAAACATTTGATTTGTTGTGTGCTTGAGTTATGTGTATGGTGGTAAGGAATATCATGTGCATGGCAGCCTTCATGTCAAGGTGCGTGCATATCTTTGTTTTTTTGCCAATTGCAAAACACTGGCAACCATAAAGAACTGCAAGAAAACAAACCCTTTTCTTATTTTCATATAGAAAACAAAGTTTAGAGAAACAGTGATTCGATGTTTGAGTGGAAATAAATGTAGGAAAAAAACATCATTGCATATTGCAATGTTTGGGTTTGAAATGCATGTAAACAGGCAGTGGTCGGTCAGTCTGTAGGTAGGTATGAAGGTAGTCAGATATGAACAAATAAATATTAACTAGATTAAGTCTCCTCATCACTCGTCTATATTATATGAATGCAGAATTTCCCCTATGGGAATCCATATCCTTATTTTACCTTAATGTGACCCCACTATTCAGAATCTATAAGTTGCAGGTATGTCTGTGTTTAAATACCCTGTAATTCAAAATATTATTGTTTTCTACTTGTACACCAAACAAAAGTATAAACCAAAGGGTATAAACCTAAACGCACACATCCGAATGCAGCCTTTTATTCTGAAGGCAGTTATCGGTCCATCTCCGGTGATTTGTCGCGTGATGCAGGTAAATATTCGGCAGAAGGGGGACCATATGGGATGACATCATGCCGAGTGAATCAAGCCGCAGCAGTACGTCAATGAAAAACAAGATCAGGCATGCAACAGCAAAGAGTTAGGAGGGACTGATGTCATCCTAAGAAAATACTCTCGACGTGAGGCAGGCGGTCAGAAGTTACCATTACATAACATCAAAACAATGTAAATATTTCGTATTTATAAGTAAGGCTGTTTTTTAAAGCATGTACAACACACCAGTTATTACCATTTAGTATACTTCTTTCAGTTCCAGTCCAATTGTCAAACTATGTTTTCAAGTAAGAGGTCCATGATATGAACATATGAGTCTGAAACAAATAGCCTACTAGGCTATATAAAGTATTTGTTTATCTCTGTTAAATGCATTTTAACATTGATTTAATATACATCTGAATTAACAGGCAACACATACTAAGCAAGAAGTCTAATAACAAAAAAGAAAGTTATCAGATTTGCTTTAGAAAAGTTAAAATGCTTCGTCAAGAGTAGGAGACCTGTTTTGAAGACATAGTATTTAAGTCATCAAGACAACTAAACTGAACTGAAAAGTACTACATGTCTCTCTGCAGTGAAGTGGCATGGAAGATAAACTAAAAAGCACAAAGTTGCAGATAAGCAGTTACAGTGGAGGCTGTCCAGTAAACTGTAATTACAGTGAAAATACAGGGTTAGGGATAAAAAGCATAGCTGCAGCCCTGCCAGCTTAAAGGGCTTAAGTCTGACTTCAAGAGTCAAAGTCATGTGGTCCCACAAATGTACTCCAGTGATAGTTTTTAATTTAAAGACGATTTATCTTTCTGTGATTGCAACAACATCTCTGGAGCTGCAATAAAAACCTTTACTTAGAATCATAAAATATGCACCAAACTGTTTAGTGTATTAACAAAAAAACATTATTAAATTAATTAAGCAAATAAAATTGAAAGAAAGAAAAAAGAAGACAGAAAGAAAACAAGTGAAGTATATATATATGACTTCATTTTTATATCCTGTTTAAAGCTCCTGTAAAGGAATTTTGGTTTGCACTGATTTTGTGCATTTTGACTTGTGGACAAAGCGGTATGTCTTATCTCTTTGTTGATTTGAATTATTTTTCCCGCAGTGATTGGTTAAAACAAATTCTCATCCTAACAGGGATCAAGAATCTTTGCTGTGGAAAAAGTTAAGAAAAAAAAACTATTTTGGCAGGGCGTAGCGAAACAGTAGTCTGACACCTACCCCCCCACACTAGTTTAAGACATCAAAATGAGTATATAGAAATAATCAATATTGTGGCTGACAGACTCTTTTGCTTCATATAGGTCATAAAGAGACATAGTATTAATGTCAGTTTGTTTCCTTACCAACTAAAATCTCCACATAGTAGCTTTGAATATCACTTTTAATTTTATTATTTGATTTTAATTCCATTATTATGTTACTGGTAGAACTGTGGGCTATAATTTGATATTAAATTAAATTAAATTAAATTCAAAAAACTTTATTTGTCCCCGGGGGGGAATTGAAAGGCACACAGAGCAGTAAATTAACAACAGTGCAAGTAGACGAAACCTAAATATAAAGTGTCAATTTAAATACAACTTAAAGCTTAAACTTAACTTAAAAATACAAAATATATAAGAGTAGATATAAGTGGACAGTGATCAGACTAACAGATGTAAACAGATGTGACCATAACTATGTGCAGTAAACGAGAAATAAATATATATATACTATGTGCAAGTAATATTGTTTGAACTAATTTTTTTCACGTGAAATGTTGAATCATTATTTATTAAGTTGACTTACAAAACATTCATCGCGTACTTATTTAAACTTTACGTGAACATGACATCTTCAATCTGATCTGTTGTTAATATATCAGACATGATGAGCATAAACTGTTATTAACAGAAGCTGAACCAGGACTTCATCATTTCAATTTTACCTGCCAAACTCCGATTAAAGCTGTTAGATATTTTTTTTATTTTATTGAAGCGGTAACATTTCTGTCAAGTTACTTTTGTTAAAGCAAACGAATTTGCTGATTAACATCAAGACATACGTTTTCTGTTTGACTGACATTGACATTAACCAATCAAGACACACCTTAAATTGCTAGTGACCGTGTTAGCCAATTAAACGAACCCAAAATGGGAATATGGGCGTGGCTTGTAACAGCTGGTGTGGGTGAGTTGAGGGGCTTGAGCCGAACGGTTGGTTGGTCAATGGGGGAAACAACAACAAGCTAGGCATCATGAGGGTCCCTGAAACACTGATATGGGCCGCTTTTCTCATCCAAAAGGTGAGAGACCAAGTGTATCGCTTGCGAAAAAAATATGTTTTTCCACGCGTTTCCTTTACGTCGCGGCACGTCACAGATACACCAACAATGCTTTCTTACAGCCGTGGTCCAGGATTATTAGCTCGGATGCTATGGCTGTTAGCTTGCGGAGATCACCGCGGGGCCCTAAAAAAAACCCCACACTCACCTTTCGATGTGAAGTAAACGTAGCAAGGATCCTGCTGATTCACGGCACCGTCGCATCCACTGGTTTATTGTGTATTGTGCTCCTGAATTTCGTTTCTCACAAGCAGGCATTGCACCGGGAAATGTAGGCTAACAGCTCTCATAAGACTACAGATACAGAACAGCGTGAACGCGTCTGAAATGTGTCACCTGAGGGGGAAATATGCTTCAGATTATTGTAATACTTTCTGAATTATTCAAACCAACTGTGCTTTGACCCACTGAGTCAACATTTGGGTGTTCAACTCTGAACAACAGTAGACTGTCCCGCACACCTGGAACACATCATTGTGTAAACAGGTACATGAAGTGCTGTTGTCAGTACCATTGTGCCAAATGTTTCCATCCTGTTTAATCTAATGTAGAGTCACACAACAACCATGCAACAATTCATTCAACATTACTGTATTGTCTTTTTATCCTACTACAATTTTAAATATTTTCCTCTTGTGTATTTATTTTAATATCTTGTTGCTTTTATTTGTCGTATTTTATTTTTATTCATATATTTTTTATTTTATTATTGTGCATTGGTCTCTCAATGATTTTATAAACTACTTTTCGCCAATAACTTTTCTGCAACTCTTGTTAAGCACTTTGAACTGCAATTTAATTTGTCTGAAAGGTGCTATATAAACAAAGTTTGATTGATTGATTGATCAGTCACTCCTCTTTTTCCCAGGTTGTTTTAGAACAGGTCCTAAAGTAAGGTCAACTTCTGAAATCAACTTATTTACACAGTCACCGGGATTTGACATTCACAACGTGGAACATTTGATTTACTCTCTTCTTGATGTCAGGATTATTTTTTTTTTTTAAAAGAAGCATATCTGCAATGAGGGAGGATGATCTATTTCTTCGACCTGCCACAGCCAACAGTCACCTTGTATGTAACTACTGGCCTGTGCTTATTTCATTCCCTGATGGAGCTGTTAATTCACTTTGGAGGCTGTAGCTTTTAAAGTTGTTGAACTTGTTTGCATTTTGTCCAACCCGTCCATATCAGTCAGGGGAATACACAGTTCCACAATGTATCCTTCAATGTGTATTAAAAAAAAAAGTTTTATATTCAAAAGATCTTAATTGTAAAGCGATATCATTACTTACATCATGAGTGTGTGTGTCTCAGCGTTAAGAAAATATTATCGATTTCCAATGGTTTTTCAGAGCAGAATACCGTTACTCCTGCCTTTTAATACTTTTGACTTTGACCTTCGCAACAGTTTTTGTGTGGCTGAAAGTCTATGATCCAAATAATCAAGGTGTAGTGATTTCTTGGGCATGTTGAGTTACATAGTGTTGTTGTGTTGACAGGTGGTGGGAGAATACGGCATGGCCCATTTCAGTGACACAGGTAAGAGCAAAGGAAAGGATTACTGCATATTCTTCAACTCCCAGTGGGCTCGTCTACCTCAGGACCTCAACAAGGCAGTAAGTGAAGGAGAGATGTAACTAATGGCATCATTTGAATGACACTTATAAATAACGTCTAAGAATAATGAGGATAAACTACAGTTTGCACTTTTGAATTCACAATCAATAAAATGTTTTCAGGAAGCTTCATAAAGGATGCTGTAATCTGATCTGTTAGGACTCCAGATACCCTCACACAGCTTCTTTCTGAACATGCTGCGAGTGTGAGGTCAATATGGCTGACATCAGAAAGTAATGGTTTACTGACATCAGCACTAGAGGAATTAAATGCATGAATTATAGTTTATGTTATGGATACATTAATTTAAAAAAAGTTTTGAGTCGGTGTTTAGCATATAACATTTTGATATAGCAACATTTCCACACATCCAATATTAAGGACCAGACTCTCCTTTGACTTCAGTCTTTTAGCAGTACCTCGATCCAGCTCAATACTGTATAAGTCATTCAAAGAGAATTTGAATCAAAGTGAAGAATGATTTTTTTATACAGTATTTACAGTCTATTCTGTTATTAGCAGGAAATGTGTTTATTGAGTCTGAGTGTTTAGACATAACAGATGTTGGTCCACTTCTGGCTAACACTGCAAACCTTTTGTCTTGAAGTCACGTCTCCAGATCCACGACTTGACAACATCAGTCCTGTGTTCGGCAACCGACGTCCCGGAGGGTGGTTTCCCAAACCGCATCCCCATGGTGATGAGAGGCAACTGCACGTTCTATGAAAAAGTCCGACTGGCCCAGCTTAATGGCGCCAAGGGCCTGCTCATTGTCAGCAAGGACAGACTGGTAACCCTGCGTATAACTATTTACATCTGCAGAGTCTTGCTTGTAATTACTGTGCATCAAGAAACATGTTTATTTTATTTCTTTTAAAATATTATATTATTATTACAGACACCACCAGCAGGAAACAAGACTCAGTATGAGGAGATTGACATTCCTGTAGCGCTGCTCAGCTACTCTGATATGCTGGAAATAAGCAAGGTGAGAGAACAGTTACTAACCATGGAAACAAACAATCATCTGGCTACCAGCAGGGTCCTAAGTAGTTAAATTCTTCCTGATTGGTAAAGTCAATAAACCGTGTGAAGACAAGCAGAGAAACAAAGTGGATCTTTGCCAAATATGAAATTATGTTTTAATGAGGATCAGCTCTGAAGAAGTATGTTTTCTGAGGAACCAATTCAACAATATCTGTATTCCACACCTGAATAAGAGCTGTTTCTTACTCCTGCAGACCTTTGGGAAAGGGAGACTGGTGGCCATGTACGCGCCCAATGAGCCGGTGTTGGACTATAACATGGTGATCATCTTTTTGATGGCGGTAGGAACAGTAGCTGTTGGAGGTTGCTGGGCAGGCAGCAGAGACCACAAGAAGTAAGTGGAAACAACTATTTTTAATGTGCACAATTACTCTCATAATCCTGAATGCTAAACTGAGTTTGACAGTAACATTCTGTGTTTACAAAAATAACTGTACTTAATGTGTAGTGGACTATAAGGCAGCAGGTTGAATTTATCACAGTTTTTTTTCTTAGGACAGAACATACTCCCTTTCTTGGTTTCTATTCATGTTTTTTTTCACATTTACATTTTTATAAAAATACAGTATTTCAAAAGAATCAGATTGTAGTTGAATGTAAATATTGATGCAGCTTGTAGTGTACCCAGTTTTCTCTTTTCCACATAGGACGAAAACCTTCTTTTTGACTGCACATACCATTCTTTTCGACCCCACTACTAAAATTAAATCAAAGTTAATTTGTCCTGGAGTCTTCTATGGGGAGAATTAGTCACTGTTTCCTTGACAACAAACTTCAAGCTTCAATCTTTTCTCTCTGAGGAATCTGTTGGCCTCTTTCAACCAAGACGTCTGTATATTTTGACTGCGACTCCACTAAAGGGCACTGTTGTTTATTTGCGGCGGTACGAGTGACTCACAGGCTAAAGCCAAACTATCCGAGTCCATCCTTCGTGATGGAGTTGCCAAGGTTACTGAGGACACAGTCAGCTGGGGTCTGTGACACATAGGGCCGTAAGCAAAAGAGCTGTTTGGAAAATGAGTGTGTGTGTGTTTTGAACTGGAGAAGGAAGCCTTTGCCAGCCAGCCAAGTGATGGTAAATATTGACTGCAGACAGTCGGATGTACTCGCTCCCTGCTTTGGCAAGTCACCAACCATCAATGAAAACCTTTTACGAACGTGACACAAAACCAACAGGACTATTTTGCTTGAGAAGCTTTTACGAGCTAATGAAAGTTTATAGATACAGTTACAGTTTTCAATGCTCCAAAAAAACATCTCTTCACATAAGCATACATCTCTGAATCTTCCTCCTGCAGACGCTACATGAAGCATAAGCGGGACGACGGCGCAGAGAAGCAGGATGAAGAGACCGTAGACGTCACGCCCATCATGATCTGTGTGTTCGTGGTCATGTGCTGCAGCATGCTGGTGCTACTCTACTTTTTCTACGACAGCCTCGGTACAACTCAGTCAGACAGACACACTCACACATCAGCGATCTGTCCACACTTAAGATGACATTCAAAAAGATGTGCTTGTTTAAAGGATACACATGAAATGAAAGATCAACGGTGGTTTCAGTCCTGACTGCTCAGTATTTATTTGCTGGGGCTAAGATTTATAAAGTCAGTTATTTTCCCTCACTTACTGCGGTCTTGCATGACTCAATAAAGCATTTGCTTCGGATACAGCAGGCTGAGTGAAGTTAACCAACAATGTTTTTCTTGTATGGCCAATGCCACTTACTTATCCTGAGTTTTCAGCTGATTACCACAAATATCTTTTTTTTAACTTCGACAGAGACGTTGATCTTAAACACCTGAAACACAAGTGTAATAATTACTATACTTCTGTTTTCCTTTTCCTCTTTTTAACTGGATGAGTATAGAGTTTGTATGAAACATTGTCCCCTGATACTAAAATATATTCGAAGTCACCGAGGCCATCTGAGAGAATTTGGATAACAAAGTGAGATATAAATTCCTCCAAGCTAAAAGATGCAGCTCTGTGTCTAGCATCATGACACTAGATCCAGTTTACAGATCTGGATTTGTGTAATGACTGAACATGTTGTAAAAAGAGAGTAACAGACTAACTGATAGAATGCTTATGATCTTTGATCAGCTGTCACTTTGCATGCTAAATACTGGTGACAGTAGGGAAACTGAAACCACTATTTAAATGTTTAAGTAAAATGTCTTTTTTTAAATTTCATTGAAGTGCATATCAAGTTGACATGCCCTATTCTGCTTCTCTCTCTACTGTTTAGCCATTTGGGTCATCGGCATCTTCTGCGTGGCCTCCTCTGTTGGCCTCCACAGTTGTCTTTGGCCTTTTGTCAAGAGACTTCCTTTCTGCAAGTGCAGGTGAGTCACGTCAAAATATTTTCATTGTTCTAGCTTTACATGAACTGATACGCCGGTATTTGTTTCTCGTACTGGTTTCAAGTTTTGTGGGGGAAAAAAATCCTTAAAATGGAGGACTGCTGGCAGAACACTATTTAGGATAAGACCCTTCATTGTGGGAGAAAGGAAAGCACGATAAAACCAGATTGATTTGGTCAAATAAATGTAGCTATTGCATGGATTAAAAGCAATAGAGAAGAGAAACATGGCCACAGGGTGCATCTCAAAGCTCCTTGAGGAGTTTTTAGCTGGTTATGAAACAGAAACTGCTACTGATGCCTGTATGGAATGTAACAACAGCAAACAACACTACGTAGAAAGAAGACTATATTCTATCTATCTGTTAATGCCTGTAAATGTTGTCACTGGCCAAAGCAGTCTGTTTTTTTGTACAGGACAAAATCAGTAAATAGATCAGACATGACGATGTACAATAAGTGGTTCCAAAATAGACGCAAACATTAAGTTCCTCAGAGGCGCTTTAAATCAGATTAGTAAATATATCTGATTAAAAGATGACTCCTCAGAGCTATAACAAGGCAAACCTAAATTTGATTGAGAGAATAAAACACTCAATTGTCTACTTTTCCCAATCCTGAACCAAAATCATCGGAGGCATGAGCCCTGCTCCTACAATTTCTGGACACCAGTGAACAACAATACTGTGTACTTAAAAGCCCAATCTATGAAAGTGTATCTATTTGAAGTATTCAATTATAAGAGGTAAATGTTAAGCCAGTAAATATAGCCTGCACACTGTTGATGGACTGTCTTGTGACCACAGGGTTCCAGAGAACAACTTGCCGTACTTACACAAACGACCACAGATCCGCATGTTGCTGCTGTCCGCAGTCTGCATCGGTGTCAGCATCACCTGGATGGTGTTCCGCAATGAAGACCAGTAAGTGTGAAGAGAAACTGTGTGGCAGTCAGTCACACATACACGGAGAAAATCAGCCAGTTACTGCGTTCAAGTTAAGAAGTTTTGTTCTTGTTTTATAACACGAGGGTCACCCGTTAAACAAGCTTTATGTTTTATACAGGAGGTTGTAAAAAGTTTGAAATGTGTCCCTCCTGAATAGCTTGGTTTCTGTTAGGTTAGTTTTCAGGTCTAGCGTCACTTCAGACTCAACCAGTGCAACAATGAATCTGACACATCACCCATCACTTCCTCCTTGAAGGGTCAAATTTCACCGTTGGGCTGTATTTAATAGTATTCTGAACACACTCGGCTGTTTTCACTTGTAAAAATCAACTTACAGAGAACTTAATCTTCAAGACGAAGAACAACACAGATGAACCAAGTAGAAAAAAAGAGGTCATATTGCTCAGGTGAGATTTTTTTTTAGAGTTGGATGTTAAACAGCTCTGGAGTTATTGCGATCCTGTCGGCTCTGAAAAAAGATGACCGTTTTTCTCTTTCTTAACTTGATTTCAGTGTTATCCTACTCCGAAGACTTTAGTCAGAAGTGTTCTTTTACTGTGTTGTGGGAATTGGTAGTGTGAGGTGACATAAGAGTTTCTATCTGTCATATATGTGATGATGTATTGGAGCTGTATACTGTGATGAAGCTGTGGGTTGACTCACAGTCTGGTTATGTGTCCTCCAGGTGGGCGTGGGTGTTACAGGACGCCCTGGGGATCGCCTTCTGCCTCTACATGCTCAAAACAGTCAGACTCCCCACGTTTAAGGTATGTCAGCATTTCTCAAAATCTACTACAAATTGGAACTTTTTTATATCTTTTCAGTTTTTGATAATGAAAAGTGAATGTGTGGCACATCGCTGTATTAGTCAATAAACTCACTTGATGCCTTTTTTGTGTCTCTGCTTTTCAGGCTTGCACCTTACTGCTGTCAGTGCTTTTTGTGTACGATGTTTTCTTTGTATTTATTACTCCCTTCTTCACAAAGGTACGTCAAGACTGCTTAAACAAAATGTCTACTGTCTCTGTCACTGTGTGCCATGCGCTCATTAAACCATAACCTTTACTCCACAGACTGGGCAAAGTATAATGGTGGAGGTAGCGGCTGGTCCCTCAGATTCCTCCACGCATGAAAAGGTGAGTTTGTGTTTGAATTCCACAACTCCCTTAAGGTGGAGTTCTGCTACCCTAACTCCTCGTGCCCCTCTAAGCTAAGAGGAAAGAATTTGATAGTAACACTAATGGTCTGTATTTCCCCCAGCTCCCCATGGTGCTCAAAGTGCCACGGTTAAACTCCTCTCCTCTGGCTCTCTGTGACCGACCCTTCTCCCTCCTGGGCTTTGGGGATATCTTAGTACCAGGTATTTAACCATACCATTACATCATGCCAAACTCAAGCTGCTTAAAGCTTGCAATCAAGGAATAATTATTGGGATTACTTTGTTTCCTGTGCATGATGGTAATTTGCTGAGTACCGTAGTTTTTGTTGATCATTGCTTTGATTGCCTCTCTGTTTTTTTGTGTGTGTCTGTCAGGTCTGCTGGTGGCATACTGTCACAGGTTTGACATTTTAACACAATCCTCCAGGATCTATTTTGTGGCCTGTACAATCGGTACGTACATGTCAGTAGGGGTTTGCGGGGATGGATTTTGTTGAAATGCTTATGTTTGGCACCATTTGGACAGGATGAACATTACAGGAAGTGTGTGTGTGTGTGTGTGTGTGGTTACAGGATGTGGTCTGGCACAAACATGGACATTTTGCAGGTGTAGCAGATGTAGAACACTGGTACCTTGATCAAAACTTGTAAAAATGTACTCTAATGGTGGAATATTTATTTTACTGGTCGGCAAAATAGTTTCCCTTATGAGCTTAGTCAAATGAAAGACTGAGCTGATAAAATATTAGAGTGAAAGAAGAAGCAGCTCTCTATAAGAATGTCTGATTGGCATTTCAATTACAGGAAGAGCGTCAAGTTCACGGAACATCTTTAGGAAATCGCTGATGAAAATGGTACAGAGGTGGGGGTGAAAAATTACCCATAAATGCCAGATTTAGATCTTAAAAAAATCACTTCCATTGCAGAGGATGATAACACTTCACCATCCTGAGAGAAACATCCAGTCTGAATGGGGCTCTGTAGTAAAATCCTGCATTATTTTGACTTGTATGTGGTCAAAGCGCTTGTGAATGCTAACCTTGCATTTGTCTCTGTCTCTGTCTCTCCTCAGCGTATGGCATCGGCCTGCTGATCACCTTCGTGGCCCTGGCCGTGATGCAGATGGGTCAGCCGGCCCTGCTCTACTTGGTGCCTTGCACTTTGCTCACCAGCCTCACTGTAGCGCTGTGGCGCGAGGAGTTGCCCCAGTTCTGGACTGGAAGTGGATTTGTGGTGAATACCAGTTTGATTTGATCGCCTACTGCCGAAGAACAAAAAGACTTTAAAAAAAAGAACATCTAGTTAAATTTCATGCAGAGTAAAGTAGAATATTAAGTTGAGTAACCCCTTTAAATAATTCCATCCATTCCAACTGCCTCTTTTCTGTTTTACTGTCCCCTCCCCCCCTCCCAACCATCGCTGCCTCTTGCCCTTTATTTTACTGTGGGTGTGCTCTAGTCTGCTGCTGAGGGCTATGCTGTCTGTGAATGTCACTGCAGGTATTCTATCTGGGCTTTGCTACTTCACACTCTACCATTAAAACACCCTTACTGTACTTAAGGTTCCTTTTTTGTTGTTTCCCTGAACAGTAGATGTTTTTGATTTGATTCTGTGATAGGCTAGCGGTTAACAACTTCCAAAGCTACAACTGGTGGAGCTAAAAATGATGTAGACTGGTTCATGTTGTCTTTTTAATCATCTAGGTTAGCATGTTTTGTGTGTGTAATTAATGGAATTAATTCCTATGGGATTTTCTTTGATATGCTTCCTCTTTCTTTGTGAATATCTTGAACTTTGTATGTACAGGAATACCTCTGACTTCACTGAGCACTGAGGCTCTTTTAATTGTGGTAATGGCAGAATGTAATTAAATACATAAAACAGTCAAATATATCTTAAAATCTGCCTGTGGACAGAGGGATGACTGTATGTTCTTTGTTGTGTCTGCAGCTTTTTTTTTCAGTCTCTGTTGTTATTTTTTTTACATTTTTAGTTTCTGTTTGACACAATTCAGCAATTTGATATCAACACTTCTTTTGTCCCCTGCAGCCTGCCATAGTCCTCGCACCCATCAACTGTACACAAACTCCAGCACCGCAGGCAAAGGGACCCTCAACAAAACTAGAGCCACAAACTGATGAGGCCACCAATCAGAGCAAAGATCCCCCCCAACCTCAAGAAACCCCCCCAGAAGAGAAAGACGAAGAGGAAAACAAATCTGACCGAAAGGACAACTAGTACAGCATTTCATACTTCATTTCATGTTTTTATTTGTTGTCGAGATTCGTTTCTTTTTATTTTGTTGCCTCAGTCAATGGACATTTGAAGTACAGACATTTATTTGCACTTGGTGCGAAGGGAAGAGCAGCAGAGGTTTGTTTTCCTGAATTGCTGGCTCAGCGGGGCACCGGGACCGGACACATAAGGTCTAGGCATTAAACTGACACACTAATTACCAAATCTCCACAAACTCTTTCTACTATTTAACAGTCTGGAACCTCATAATGAGAGTAAGAAGAAGCTTAACAGCCCTGAAGGCTCTGTTCAAACAGATTGATTACAATTGAATTAATTTGCTAAGGAGATTTTTTTTTTTTTATTGGGGTGAGGTAAATTTATTTTTTTCATGACTTGTTAGTAGTTTTGCTAATTGCTAATTCTCCTTTAATTCGACTTCCTCTGATGCTCCACAAAGAACAAATGATGGAGCTGCAGTGATCAAACAACAAAAGAGTGGGCATTTCCACTCTTTCCTGACATGCTCGAGACCAACATGACTGAGAATCTGAAAATGATTTTAAAAAAGGGCAAAGAGATCAATCATGGAAGTGATTGCTGATTTTAGCTCCACAGTTAAAAGGAGATTGATGTTAGTGGTACAAACACACATTGACTTCTTTATTAAATAAAAGGGTATTCAGTTTAATATAGTATGACATATAGAGCTCAACTGTTAGATCTTGTACTGGTTTGTTAGAAGTTTACTGCAAGTGCTCTGAAGTAGCCTATAGAAGAAAGTTTTACCGTTGACCCTGCTGCTATTTCAGTTCTTTAAAAGGTCTCAGTATACTTCAAATGAACAGGTTTTCAAAGCTACTGACAGGAGTTTTAAGCTGGTTATGAAAAGAAAGACTGACATTTATACTGACCTCTTGATGACCTATAAAAGCAAAAGAGAACAATAAGCAACAAGATTGATTATTGCTCTATAGTCATTTGGACCCACTGAGGGGTTAGGTGTCAGACAAAGTGTTCAGCTGCAACCTGCCCAGACAGCCTCTTTTTTTTTTCTAGAGATTCTTCACAGCAAAGACTCTTGATGAGTGACACATTAGTCTGTTAAAACAGTAGGATGAGATTCATATGCAAGAGAAAAAACAAAAGGGGGCCGGCAAAATCGACACAAACCAAAAAGTTTTAAGACACGCACCTCATGTAAAGCTGAGACCTTTATTTTGAAAAGCACAAGCACTCACACATCGTCACAAGCCATTCAGCTCTCCATATTTCTCTCTGACATAAACCACGGACAAAGAGTTTCACACACTTTCAAATGTGGTGCTATCATGGTTGTTGACTGAGCCAAAGCTTTTACTTTGATTTGTTTTCTCTTCTTTCTTTTTGATGTTTTTTTTTTTCTCTTTTGCATGCTATGGTTTAAGATTTCTACCCTTTCTATAAAACCAGTGTATAACCCTGTAGTGCAGACTTGTATAACTTTTTGGTGGTGCAACAGGTAAAATGTCGGAGACTTGAACCCCAAGTTGTAACTGATATCGTCTTAAGAATTTGTTTTGGCCTTAAATGCGTTAAATCGGGGGGGGGCTGCAGCAGAATTGGTAGAGATTGCTTTATGATGAACACGAGTACTGTACCCTGAATGCTGATGTGCTGCAGTTTGAGCTGAGGAACGAGTGACGGGTTGTGTTACAGATGTCTCTAGGTTGGTTTATACGAAGCGTTTGCACAATATTTTTTGAACTTATGAGCTGACATTTGTTGGTTCATGTCTATATATGTCTATGTATAAAAAAAAAAAATCGTATACAGGGGTGTAAAGAAAAGAAAAGGTATCACTATATCCAGTACTCATCCTGTTTTTTCTGACCCAAGAGTGTCATTCTCATGTTAATGAAGCCTGTTGATCACCTCTGTGTAGAAGTAAAGGGTCAAAGAGTAAAAAAAAAAAAAAAAAAGAGTCAAACAAGAACAGTTTAGTTGTCTGGATCTGTGCCCTCGCTGAATCAACAAGTGTTGTCAAGGAGATTATTCATTCACCGGTATAGTTTGTGTCACCAAGTGGTTTTTAATGCCTCTACGGAGGAATATATGGAATAAATAAAACATTGTATCTGATATTTGGTGTGTGTTATCATCTGTTTGAATGGCTGTTTCAATATCTTTGTATCAGCTTTTTGATGCCAAACATAACTCGGCCGCCTGCATGGGTTTTTCAGTCTCAATGCGTCTTTTCATCACAAGCTGTGAAAAAGGTCGCCTGCTGTTCAGGCTAGGCAGAAATGAGAAGCAGTCTGACAAAGAGGCTTTTTGTCGCTGCTGCTCAGTCACTCAAAGTGAAGTCCTCTTCATACTGGATCACTATTTCATAGACTGCCGTGCTGTTTGGTTGACTGGTTTGCAATGCAGTGCAGAGCGCTGTATTTAAGCCCACATTTATGTCTGGGTTTTACATCTTAACCTTTGACCTGAACATGTTTCACATCAAACTCATTCTGTGAAGGTATTTTTGTTTTATAAAGCTGACTGCTCCTACTTCAGACTCCAGTGTATGACATACCTCACATACATTCATACAACTTCCAAAGTCCACAATAAAGGTACCCATCTGCTCGCCAAAGGGAAGAAATCTACCTTCAGGTGAATGATTACAAATAAAGCTCTTTGATAATGTAGGTGCAGCGAGACGTTTCCTTTGTGACATTTGTGGTATTTAAGCTGGTAAAATATGTTGGACCTTTAAAAGGCATTATCTGCTGGTTGTGCAAGTCTCACAGGCCACTCACTGCTTGTTGTGCAAAAAATTAAAAACAGTTTTTAGGAGTTTATCGGTCGGCAGTCTAACCCCAAAGAGGAGGTTGTCTTTCAGCATTAAAGCCTAAAAAACATTGAGCGAGAAAAAAGGAACTCAATTTTAGCAGCTTTTTAGTGCTAATTTTTAACTTGATAAGGGGAGTCATTAGCGATGGAAATCACAGGATAACCAATGATTCATAATGTGATATGTGGCCCACATAAGGATCAAAATACATCGGTTCGGTGATAATTTATATAACGCAAGACAATCATAATGATCCATCACGATGTGTTTAACTGAAGAATATAAAATGCCACACTCTGTTTTGTCAGGTCAGTGATCTTTTATTCCATGAGTTTGGATTGTGAAGGATGCTTTTCTTTAAACAAAAAGGAACAGCGTTTGATTTTCAAAAGAAAATCTGTGAAATAACGTGAACATTAATGAACAGGGAACATCAGCTGATACTATTTACAAACAACATGTTCAAAGCCTGCATGTAGTTTCCTCAATATAGTACATTACTGCATCATTTTGTTACAGCTGAGGAGCAGGACCATGGTATATATATATATACTGTATATTACACCTTTGATTCATTCCCAAATCAAACTCCTGTGCTTAGCACCTCACAGTGAAACCGATGCAAACGTTAAAAATATACAACTCACCCTGTATTCATCATTCATAAATTAAAAAGACAGCTTCAGATGTAAAACATGAGTGCTCAACGGTTTGAAGAAAACTTACATTAATTTCTAATAAAAAATTGCTAAAAAAATAACGTCTCATAAAAGTCTTTGGCAAAGGGTTTTGTTTTTGTAACATCTTCATGTAAAATATGAACATCCCGATGTCGAAAAAGGTCGAGGTTTTTGAAATTTTTTGTGCAACCTCTGCATTAAATCTCAATTGTTTTTTGTTTTAGTTCACGTCATTGTTAAAGTCCAGGGTTCAATTCCCATTAAAGTGACAGTTCTCTTCTTACTGGACACATGAGTTCATGTTCACATCAGTCTTCCACGTCAAAGTCTTTATGATGGAGCAGTCCTCATCTGAACTCCAGAAAGAAGTTCAGGGTTAAAGGAATATTACCTTCTCTTTGCCTGCTTCCAGAATGTCTTTGGGGAAAGGAGGCGGTGTTGGAGGAGGAGCATCGCTGTTGCTCCTCCTGTGTGTGCTGAAGGACTGAGACATCTTCATATTGTGGACGGAACCTGGTAGGTTAACGGCACCTGAAGGGAGAAAGAAGAAATAGTTTAACACGAATATGAAAAAAAAGTTTAATCAAATGATCTGAATCCCCTTTTTCCTGAAACAAACATAAAACAGTAAAACAGCTATTTCAAACAGATTTCGTTAATGCCAAGATTAAAGTTTAAAATGGCAAAACTAAAGATACACCTTCAATTACCAAATATCGTTTTTGGACCTTTTGTTTTGGGTTTTTAGGTGACTGGTTAAAATGTTGCTAAGTCATTCACACAATGGGAATTAAAGCTGACTGCGATGTTCACCTCTCCAGAGGTGGTGAGACACCTCTTGATGATGTGTTCCATCATGAAATGGGTCCTTTAAAATGTTTACGTATGTTATTTCTGTTTTTGTATAATCTAAAGTATCATTCAAAAAGTTAGACATAAGGATTGACCATGAATGTAAATCAAAACTTGAACCTTGAACATTTGGAACCACATCTTTATTAAAGAGGATATTATACCCCTTTTCAAACAGTCTCCTGTGGTCTAAATGAAACTTCTGTGCTGTGCTTTGGTCAAAATATAACATGAATCAAGCACCAGAGGAGGTTTGTGACCCTGTATAAACCAGCTCTATCAGAACGCTCCGTTTTGGTGTGTGTGTCTCTTTAAATGCAATGAGCCCCCCCTGAGTTTTCCCAGTACACATCACTCCTCTGTAGCAAGAATAAAAATGATGGACCTGTGCAAAAGTTTTACTCTAGGCTTTCACCCTCGCGACTGTCCGTACCTGAATGCTTTTGAGCTTTTTGAGGACTGGCGTTCCTTCTGGTTCTCATGCTGCCTCCTTCCTTCCCGGTCACTCGGATGGGCAGCACCTGATTCACGTCTATGGAGGCTGGATGTAGAAAGACAACACTTGAAGTAGTTATTTAGCAGCATTTTATTCTGAAGAACTTTTAAGAACTCTCAATAAAGACATCTTTGTAGCTTATGAAGATGAACGCATATTGAATTATTTTAACAACTAACTCACTGCTGATTAACTATTTTCAGCAACAATGTCACTGCCATCAAATAAACATCTGCTGATTTCTTGATTTTTTTTCTTTAAAATATAAGTTTTAATCAATTTACAGAGAAATAAATAGTCAAGATTTCAAACTCCGACTAACCCATGCACTGAAACAAAATAAGCAGGATATAAACTTCACCCCCCCTTCCTTCTTCCTCAAGGTGAATTCTCCTGATAGTATGTGCTACATTCTCACATCAGCTCACTACGGAAAAAATATGTCTGTTTGTGTTATAGACATCTTGTAAACAGAGCTGCATCCTGACCTGCACTGTGCGCTCTGTGGTGGGAGCCTTTCATCTTAGAGCCTTTGTCCTTTCCTTTGGACAGAGTGGCAAGCTTGGCGGGGATCTGCTGCTGCACGGCTGCCGGCTTGTTAACCTGATTGGTGGTGCTGATCAGCTGGATGGGCCGCTCGGGCCGAGCCGGCAGGGGGCTGATGCTCTCCCTGCGAGGTGGAACCTTCGGAGGTATTTCTTTGGGGTCCAAGAAAGAGGGCGAGACGTGAAGCTTTGGCGTTAAGGTCAGACTCCGTCCTCCGTTCACTATGCTTCCTCTGAACGACTGGTAACTGGAGAGAGCCCAGGACTGGAGGACACACAGGAAATGATCATGAAATCAAACTCATGTTTAGCATCAACTTGTGTGATCAAACTGCTGTTCTATTCCAACACTTCATTGCTTTACAAAAGTATTTTTATTTTATTTTAAATTGATTTTAATAATGTACTGCAAACCAATAGCACTGTTTTCTTTCCAAATGTCAGCTTTAAATAAAGACTAATGTGGGTTCAGAAGATTAAAACCTCTTCTTCATTTTTTATAAACGGTCCTTTTTAACTTTAGTAGATTGTACCTTGAAAAGGACATTTGTACGTGCATATTTTAAATGTAGACAGTTATTGGACAGATGAAAACAGGATAATGTTAAACGTGTTGAATCAAATCTTATTCCTCACTTGTGAAGGATCTTCATAGTTGGCATGTCCTGGGTTTGGGAGGCTCTTCTTTATCTTCTCTTGCAGCTGCTTCAGACGCTCCCTCTCCTTCTCGACTGATTGTGTGGAGTCCCTCAGCCTCTCCAGGTCCTGCTGATAGTCCTCCCTCTGCCTCTCCAGGTCTGCTTTCTCCTCATTGAGCTTCTCCACCCACTTCCTGCACTCGTCCTCCCTCTGTTGAAGCTGAGCCTCCAGGGCCTCTATCTGGGTCCTCTGCCGCTCCCAGTCCTTCTCCCAGCGCTGCTGCTCCTCTCGGTGCTGCGCCCGCAGTTTGTGCAAGTTGTTCAGTTCCTCCTTCTGCTTCTCCTGGTTCCGCTGCTTCTCCTGCTCAAGCAGCACACTGCTGTAGTGACGGGCAGGCTGCTTGCTCTTTGAATGGAACACCTGCTGAAGCTCGATCTGGCTGTCCTGCTGGGCGATTATTGCCTGTGTGTTGGAGAGTTTTATAAAACATTTACAACATTTAAAGACACTAATGGAAGAAAACTTGTAACTAGAAATGACGTGCTTGATGTATAACATTTGAAATGTCTCACATGTAAACTGTAAAGCCTTTGTGCGAGCAGTATCACCCGGTCACACACCTGCAGAAAACAGGAGATGCAGTGTTAGATATCAATGATTGTGCATGGATGAAAACTGATGGAAAAAGAGGAAACTAACAAACAAAATGTGCATTAGACGAAGTGTTACCTCTGCCTCATGGAAATGACTGGGAGGGAAACTGCGGATTGGAAGATCTGTTTCATCATCAGCCTATGCAAAAAAATAAGAAAAATGAGCACACACATGTTAATTCTTTTTAATTTATCTGTTGAATACAAACAAGGTGTGTTTTATTTTACATCTGTCTCACTCACAGACTGTTCCAGACACTCAGCGTACGAATCCTGCAGCTGAGGATCACTAGCGGTGTTACTGTTGTGATCCGGATCGACCTCGCTGTCACCGGGACCGTCAGGAGCGTCGCCATCTGACACAATCAAAAATGACTTTTTGTTACGTCTGAACTTCTTGTGAGAAGAATCAGTGCAATCAAGCTTTAAAACAAAAATCAATATTTTGTTTTATACAACAAACCTGACCAAAAGAAAACTCCCCGACTCCTGACGTTTGAGAAATGATGCCGGAATGAAACACCTCACTACCTCTATTCAAATACAAATGTTTAATATAATGGCCTCAACACATTATGTTTTACCTTCATAAATACATAAATAAACTCAATAACTGTTAGTTATGTTTTGTTGTATATTATTTGGGTTTCATCTTCTCTCTCTGAACACTCCATCATTAATATGTTAATTTATATATATAAGATGTATTTTCATGTCAGCTTACTTGTCATGGCACTAGCAGCCAGATCATCATCATCGGCCACCCCATCAGTATCGGCCCTCCCCAGAAGCAGTTCCTCCTGTGACTTTCTCTCATTCAAAAGAAGGTTTGGGTCTCTAATCCGTGAGAAAAGCAGGTTCTGCAAGTTTTCCACTGCAAACAAAAGAAAAACAAACAAGTTCTTTACTTTAGTTAAGAGGACAATATCAGTACTAAAAAATACAACTTATGACATGTAAATGATAATATCATGATAGCTAATGAGAGAAGAATTAATCAATACAGACTACTGTCTGATAATTCTTTTTTTATAAAAGGGAAAACTGCTACACTCACCCTCATCGATGGCTCCTTTGAGCAGTGTCTCCCCCTGCTGGAGGTCTGTGGTGTCTCCTCGCAGCAGCAGACCTTTGTGAGGGGTTTCCTGTTCTGTCACAGTCTCATACAGAGCGGCAAAGATCTGCTGCTTCTCTGTCAGACTTTGCCTTATCTGGTCATCCCTAATCTTTAGAATATCTGAAACAGCAGCAGCTTAAAATAAACAGCATGTTTGACTGACAAATCTAGATAGAGACAGAAATGGTTAGATGGCCTTGATGTTAGATGGATCCCTGCTGTGGGCCGTGCAGTTCCAAATCAGAGTCATGAAGTCAATTTAGTTTTAACATTTTAATCGATCAAAAAAAGAAATTGAAAAAAAAACGATTGAAAAAACAAATTCTGTTTTTTCCCTTTGAATCAGAAAGTTGACAGATGTTTGTCGCTATTCTTTAAAATCCAAACCCATCTGAGGTGACTTCAAGGAAAACAAGAGCTTCTTTTTGAAACTTAAATTCACATGACCAAAAAAATGAAATAATATTAAAAAGTAATTTTTCAGCCATTTCAGGGCTTGGACTCTTGGAATTCAATCTTTCCTTAATAGCAAACATCAGATTTAGTCCCTCTTTCTATAGATGATACTTGACATAGAGCTTAATCATTTAAAGTTTTTGTTTTTTACCTTTAAATTTGGCTCAGCATGAAATGGCTTGAATTAGATTTCTTGGAGAGACTCTCACAAAAAGAGTTGTTACGGGTAAACATCAAGTGTAGGTAGAAAAGGTAGAAAACGTGTGCACCACAGGAACATGTCATTTACAAATGATGTGATAAAATTCTGTCAGTTATCTTTTCCAATAATCTCTTCTGAAAAGGACAAAGACAACCCTAAAAGATTCCCTTATTAAAGAGAGATATGATTCTGTGAGGTTTGGTAAGAGGTGGTTCATCTTGGCTCTCTTACCTTGAAACTGCTGCAGTCTTGCAGTCAGCTCACGATACTGCTCCTCTTCTGGATAACTGAACAACACACACAAACATGTTATCATGCTTGGGTCTGTTTAATGTGCTGATCCTTTGCATCTCAAGTCAGCTAGAAATTGCTGAATCAACATATATTAATGACCACGTCAAATAAATTCTCACATCCTCTGAGTCTGCAGCTTACCGGTTCACTGCTTCCCGGATCTGGGCTGTCCATGCGATGCGTTCCTCTCTGGAGCTGGTGTGAATCTCGTACATCTCCGGCATGCTGGTGGTGCAAGCACAGATGAGGAACATGGCTTTGTCCTCATGAGCGACCTCTCGGACTATCAGCCTTTGAAGGGAGATCACTGGAGGTTTGTTATCCTGTGTTATAATACAGCAGGAGTTATTAGTACTGAGAGAAAAAACATGAGATCATGTAAGATGATGTAAAGAGTCATTAACATATTTCCCACTTATTTGTTCACTTTTTTTCTTGATTGAAGAAGCAACATTTTGAAATAAAAAATTCAGTAGTTAGTGAGTGAAACTTTCTCAGAGAAGGCTGCAGAAAACTCTCACTGATGTTTTTCCAGAACTCACCACAGCAGGAAACACAAGCTTCTGATCTTTCTCTTGTAAGAGGAGGAGCACGTCTGACAGCAGCACAGCATGGATGTCTGCAGAGACACAGAAATGCTTCTCAGTATCAAAATCAAAACAAGTGCTCCATGTTTAATCTCAAGCTACCGCAGCAGATGGACCTTCCCGTTTGTGTGACTGTTCATCTTAAAGACAACAGCTATGATGTAAAAAAAAAATAAGCTGCTAAATTGCTTCTCTGCATTTTTATCCTTTCAAAAATAAAACTTCTCCTAAATAGAAACAAAGCAAAAAATAACAAATGTAGTCACTCTGGGGCGCAAGTGGCCTTGCGGTTATTTAAGTGTACCCCATGTACAGAGGCTACAGTCCTCAAAGCGGGGACCCACGGTTTGATCCAACCTGTGGCACTTCCTGCATGTCATTTTCCACTCTCTGGCTCTCTCTCTCTCTCTGATTTCCAACTCTATCCACCATCCTGTCCCTTTAATAAAAGGCAAGAAAAGCCCAGAAATAAATACAAAAATAAAATAAAAATACAAATGTAGTCACTCTGACCATGCACTAAAACGCTGAGTCAGCAGTCCCTTGATGTATCATCCTTTTAAAGATGCATCTATTCCTACCAGTTAAAGATTTTGCTATAACACTTTTCTTTTTCCGAAGTCAAGGTTTGTATGCAAAGAGGGTCAAGTATGTTTCTATTGTTTTGCCTTTTAGACTGTTATAAATACCACTGTAAATTTAATTTTAATATAATCTCCTATTCACAAAGAAAAAAAAAAAAAAACAGGAAACAAGCAATGTTCATATATAAACTCCTGCAGCTGGCACCGTTTTGGTTTCTACACACTGCTCCGGGGCTTCATGTAAAGTTGCCTTTGAGAATCAAATGTAAAATCTGTTTTAATAAGATTCAGAGCAGACAGAAATCTGGAACGATAAAGAAACTTTTGTTGAAAAGAAAATCATGTCCATGACATACTCAACAGGTAAGGATGCTGAAACTGGACTAAAAGTTGATATATTTCTGGTATCAGTAATACGACTAACAACATCTATTCATGCTTCACATTCTCCAAACCAACCAAATGGTTATGATGGCACACACTGCGCGTGTATTCACTGTCAATAAACAGGTCACAAACCTTTCTGTTTGCCAGACGTCTTCCATGTTACCGCACCTTCGTGCAGCAGCGTCCTCTCTCCCTGTAAGAGATCCTCTCTGCGGAACAGCTGGCCATTCTTCAGCCGGCCCTGAGACTTTGGCTCCAGACGAAGGCCGATCTCTCTCAGACGAGTCGCTTTCTCGTATTCACTGACCTGATCGTTGACCTGGGAGATGGTTTCTTTAATTAGAGCCAAAGCCTGGACCAGTGACTGGTGCTCCTCTGTGTCAGCTGTAGGAAGGATTCAAATGTAGCAATTGAAAAGCCTTTGCTTATTAAGATGAGAATATTTCACAGAAACACAAAGTCATACATGTCTGCATTTGTGTTACTGATGCAGGAAGCCAGTTGAACTTTTTGGATCTGAGAGTTACAATAGTTAAGTGAGTGTTGAGGTTTTACCTTCAGTGTTTTGAATGATTCTGTCCACCAGGATAGGATATTTTGTGATGCGCTGAGTCACCAGCAGAAAACATTCAGGGATTCCCAACCTTCGCACAAGAGGCAGCTGACCAATTTTCTGAATATAGGAAAAGGTGGACATTTTTTAGGCCTTGCATCATTCCGAATAGTTTCCTCTCGACAGACAGTGTCAATCTGTGTAGAACAGTGATCGATCGTCAACAGGCAGCCTGGGGACATCTGGCCCCCCAAAGCTTCCCATCCGGCCCCCGGAATATAATTAAATTTAGAAAATGTGAGGAGGAAAAACTATATTGTGATATTGAGGGTTTATTTTTTAAATCCATATAGCCATTAAAGCAACCATTGAGCAACAATTGAGTCGGAAATATTTCTGTAACAGGAATTAATTACGTTTGATCTGTGTTATAAGTTGTATTTAAATTGACACTTTATATTTAGGTTAAAATGTTTCGTCTACTTGCACTGTTGTTAATTTATTGCTCTGTGTGCCTTTGAATTGCCCCCTGGGGACAAATAAAGTTTTTTGAATTGAATTGAATTACAGAAATCCACCTGTTAGCTATTATTAGCAAATATTCAGCCAGGAGTAGCTACTGCTCTACTGCCCGACAACAAAACAACCGTGCTTGCTGTGCCGAATGTGCACTTGTATTTAAAAACACATCCCTCTCTTTTATGACTGAAATGTTGCTCGTATGTATGTATGTATGTATGTATGTATGTATGTGTATATATATATATACATATATACACACACACACACACACACACACACACACACACTTTTTATTTTTATTAATATTATTGTTTTTTTTGATAATTTAATCACTTGTTTCTATTGCTTTTACTGCTCTTACCTTCTTATTGTTGTTATCTTTTTCTTTGGTTTTAGCTCTTTTAGTTTCTAACATCTTTTTAAATCTTTGGTCCTCTTGGTCTCAGCTCGTGTTGTTGGGTTCTTGTGTTGCCTGGGTTCTTATGATGGTTCTTGTGATGGTCGGGTTATATATATATCTGTTGGGTATCGTGCACTTTGGGTTCTTTTCTGTTGAATTGTATTCAATTATTTTTAGTATTTTTGCATTTGTTATGTTCTTGCTGTTGTTTATGTTCTTCTGTGTTTGGTTTAGTTTGCTTTGTTCTTGTTTTTGCTGTTTGTCGAAGCACTTTGTAAACCTGTGTTTTTAAAAAGGTGCTATTTAAATAAAGTTATTACTATTATTACTACATCCTGCTACTGATGCTGCAGACTTGCACATAATTCACTTTAAAAAAAAAAAATACTCTTGTACATTTTCTCTGTGACTAAACACAACCACAGCCATCACTGTGTCCTGCACATGATCCCATCACTGTACCAATCAGTGAAGACGACTTACCCTTATGAGGATCTGCAGTTTCTTGTTGTTCTGTAGCTGATCTTTGTAGAAGCTGATGGCTTCACTGTGACGACTGCAGAAAACACTGTAACTCTCAAACATCCCTTCTCCCATAGCGCCTGAAAACTGAGTCAAAAGGAAGTAACACACAACATTAATGTATATCAGGATATGATTTCAAAGTTACTATTTTGCAAATTATCTTTATATAATATCACATCGTGTAATTTGACGACAAAAAAAAGAGAAGAATTAAAGAATTAAATCAGGCCTCGTGGTCCACACAAAATGCATCCCACCCTGCATTGTATGGCGTGTGTAACAACAACCCGAAATGCTGCTAAGGTAATGCAGCAAAAAAAAAAAGTCAAAATGAGGAGGAAAATATAAAAATGCAGCTTACAGGGAGAGTCTATTCTGGTGAGTCGAAGTGGAATAGAATTTAAAAATGAAATGACCAAAACCAGTCAAATCCAGTGGCTTCTAAATAAGCATCACTAAATGTGTGTTCTTGATGTTTGTTTTTCACACATTGATTTTACTTATGTGACTTATATCAAAACTGCAAACTAGCTGTGGTTGAACTATAACAGCCCCCCCCCCCCCCCCGAGTCATTTCACAGTAACTGATGCCAGAGATGTGAAATATAATCCTCAGTCTACTTTTTAAACTTAATATTTTTACAGTTCATTCCAGAAACAAAAGCTCTTGTTCATCTGTGCTGTAAACTCATAATGGGTTTTTTTCTTGTCAAAATGCCTCTGCATGAAGGTGAGACAGCCAATCCCGGGCTTATGGGGCAAACACACCTATCAGCGGTCCCTTACAGCGTGTTTGAGACATACCAGCCATTCCTATAGACACCTGCATACTCAGTCAGCACATTCAGAGAGAGCGACAGGGCTGGAGAGAGGTGCATGGATTCACATTATTAACATTCCTCACCTGAGAGATGAGAATATCCCCCAGTTGTGTGATCTGATAGATGTTTGGGTTGTCTTCCACCTGACTCTGACTTTGGCGGACTTTGAGGTTGTTTAGAAAACGCTGGTGGAGGGCGAGCAGAGCTTCCACCCCAAAGAAGAGCCTCTCCAGCTTGGACTCTTCAATCAGCAGAGACTGCCTCAACTCGTGTATGTAGACATGGAGGAGGATCTTTAAGGTGCGAACATGGTGCATCTCTGTCTGGATCAGCTCTAGGAAAGTGATCCAAAGACTTTTAATAATCCATACAAACCATTTAAAGAGACCAAGGTTGGAAAACGTGTGGGGGGTAAAATGACAATAACATCTGTATAACTTAAGAACTACCAGCTGAAAACAAATAGATTTGCTCTAAAAAAGGACCTTCAATGCAGACAGCTTGTTTTAGTTAACCAGTAAAAAAGGTCTGCCTAAACACAAGTGGTTATAAATTAATCTTCTTCAACATGTGATTGGCATGACCTCTGTCTGTTTATACATCACTGTAAGACATTGCATATGATACTAGAAACACTTTGGATTGATTAAATGTACTGATTTCTTTGAACAGATAATCCATCCTCAGAATCAGTTGGTTCAGTTTACCGTGGATGACATCCTGTCTTTTAATGGCCTCTTTGCTCAGGGTCTTCTGGAAGTTCTGGTCCACAGCCAAGCTCCAGGACTCTGCCTCCAGGTTCTGGGCATCAGACTCAAGGTCAGATCGCAGCAAATCATAATGGGAGTCTGGACGACGTGTAGAAAGAGACATGAGAAATGAGGATTGTGATTTATGGTCAAATGAGTCCGAGGGATCCCTCACTGGCCATCGCTGTTCATCTTACTTTACAGGTGATGGGCTTTCATCATTTCATAGAAAATCTTACACAGAATCATATTCATCTACAATTTATTTAGCAATATTTATTTTTAAAAAATGTCAAAAAGAAATTAAAGATTAAAGAATTTGTCAATTCCATATTTTTTTTTCTCCTATATTTTGCACCAGTGATTCATTAACAGTCTCACACGAGTCAGGATGATGATATACACTATACTGTTATATGACTATTTTGACCCACCCTTACTGATCGATGTGAAGAAATCTGTCACACTGTCAATTATTTGCATGAACCATATTAACTTATTCTGATAGATAAAGTGCTCAACAGTGTGGGACACTATTTTGAGGAGAACATCAAACTTCACAAAATCCGTTACTCCATCCATATTAAAACTGCATCCACATTTCCTTTTTTCCAGGAAGCTACATAGTTCTATCGTGACAAAATGGCACAGCGGGCTTTCCGTAGATTCCAATCCTGTTAAAAGTGACCAGCTGACCTTCTAGGTTGATGGGCTCAGCCAAAGAGGGAGCCAGTGACACCAGGTCGTCAGTGGAGAGCTTCAAACGAAGGCCATCGACCTCATCCATCTGCGCTGCACCGGATCTGCGTGGTATGTGATGAGATAAAGCTCAGCAGGTAACAGTGATGTCAGCGCACAAACATGCACTCACACAAATAAAGCATTCAGTGCTATTGGTTAATTCAGTGTTTGGAGCTTCGGATCTGAATTTATCTATCTGATGCACACTGCAGTGATGTCAAAGACGAAATGCAGCTGACTACAACAAAAGGGCCCGACATGAGTCACAAGTTAAAAAAAAAATCTACCAGGAAAACAACAAACCCAGAAAATATTTCCCTCTTGACTAGAAAACTGTTTGACTTGTTTATGAGGGAAAACTAGGACACTGACGGCTATGTTGTGTTCTTAAAATACACGGTCACCAACCTGGGACTTGTGTCGTCAAAAGAGGAAGAACCAGGCTGAGCACTGAGGTTTTTAGGGATGACAGTCATGCCTGGACTGAGAAATCATGCAGGGAGGCCATATGAGGCCGGGGGAGGAACACTCTCCCCTCCTCACAGCTGAGTGAGAGAGAGAGAGAGAGAGAGAGAGAGAGAGAGAGAGGGAGAGAGAGAGAAGAGAGAGAGAGGGAGAGAGAGAGAGAGAGGGAGAGAGAGAGAGAGAAGAGAGGAGAGAGGCAGAGAGAAGAGAGAGAGAAGCAGAGAGAAGAGAGAGAGAGAAGCAGAGAGAGAAGAGAGAGAAGCAGAGAGAAAGAGAGAGAAGCAGAGAGAAGAGAGAGAGAAGCAGAGAGAAGAGAGAGAGAGAAGCAGAGAGGAGAGAGAGAGAAGCAGAGGGAGAGAAGAGAGAGAAGCAGAGAGAAGAGAGAGAGAAGCAGAGAGAAGAGAGAGAGAAGCAGAGAGGAGAGAGAGAGAAGCAGAGAGGAGAGAGAGAGAAGCAGAGAGAAGAGAGAGAGAGAGAAGCAGAGAGAAGAGAGAGAGAAGCAGAGAGAAGAGAGAGAGAAGCAGAGAGGAGAGAGAGAGAAGCAGAGAGAAGAGAGAGAGAAGCAGAGAGAAGAGAGAGAGAAGCAGAGAGGAAGAGAGAGAGAAGCAGAGAGGAGAGAGAGAGAAGCAGAGAGGAGAGAGAGAGAAGCAGAGAGAAGAGAGAGAGAAGCAGAGGGAGAGCAGAGAGAGAGAAGCAGAGAGGAGAGAGAGAGAAGCAGAGACGAGAGAAGAAAGAAGCAGAGAGGAGAGAAGAGAGAGGGGGGCAGAGATTGGAAAATAGACTGTGTGAGTCACAGAGAAAGAAGTACTCCTTTTAAACAACTTAAAGTAACATGAAAAAGGAAAAAATCTAGAGAAAATGTAATTGCTGAAACCAAATAATGACAAACTAAATTTTAGAAACGTTTATGTGTTAATATATAGTGATTTAGAATTAAAGAATGTGGATGCATTTATTTGTTTAAATCACACAATATTTCCAAACTGATGCTCAGTAAAATAAGCTGTGCTCCACTGTTACACATTAATTCAAACAAGGATACTCAAGTGCTGTGGTTCTCAACTGAAGGGTTGGGACCCAAGAGTGGGTCGCAAAGTTGTTTTATGTGGGTTGAGAATGTGTGCGTCCAAAAGTCTACAAAGCACTTTCAAAACATGCTTGTTTTTTTTTTTTTCCATTTCTTTGTTCTGTCACATGTTTTGTACCATCTGATGTCCCAACTGCATCAACTTTCATTGAATAAATTGATGATTGGTTGAAAAATATACAATATTTGTTGCGATCTTTCAAGGAGAAGGTGGTGGTGACCAGTTGAGAATCACTGCTCTAGTGTATAAAGTAAAAACTCTAGTGTCCTGCTTCCATTTTCTTAAAGCTTAGACTTTGACATCAGCGTTTTGCACAACATGAAGACAGGTAACCTTACCTCAGCACTAAAAAGACAACACATACATTCTTATGCAGCGCTACAATGAAAGTGAATTATAGGATCATCAGGATCAAGTGCTTACTTTTCAACAGGAAGAGAAAATAAACACACCTCTATTATTATCTGTTTCTGAAGGCACTTTGCTGACTCACGAGCCTTCAAACAGACAGGTTTACCTACAAGAGAGAAAAAACACTTCTAAACAGCTTGTTGCCATGGAAATGTAACCCTGAGGAGAGGGAACAGGTTTGACAAAGTGTGAAAACTCAAGTCAGACCAGCACTAAGGCAAAGACACAGCTAAATGAGACTGCTTTAACATCAGACACAACATGATTTATCAAGATTGAAGTGAATGTGTGCACTGATATAGATTTACATTTTCTATTCTACTTATAAGAGACAGTGCTGAAGATACATGTTGTGTAACCATGTGCTTATCGTGTTTCATCTTGATACACATCCCGGTGAGACACACATCTCGCCGTGAGAAGTTGATAAACTTCATGACAATCCTTTGACGGATTTGTCCTTTAAATAGAATCACTCATGTTGTTCCAAACTGACTTCTTAAAGCGCTTTGTCGCAGGCCAACAATGACTCACCTCATATACTTCTGTTTATGTTTGCTGCGTTATGCCTTCCATCGTTCTCCTTGTGACACTGAAAAAAAATATATAAGGGGGGAAATAATCTGGTCAAACAAGAGAATAAAAGTGAAATGAAAATAGCAAAGAAGTTCAAGGGTTAAGTGTTAGATTGAATTTGTTGCAGACCCCGACAAAAAGTAGACACAGGGTCCCAGTTTATGTGTTGTTTACCCTGCTGGCTAGTAACAACAGTTCCTCAAGGACCAATGAGACAGATCAACCGTTATCGTGGACAAAGGCACGAGTAACAAAGCTTTTTTCATTTTTAGAAGATTTACTTTTGGGCTTTTCATGCCTTTATTGTCGAGATATGACAGTGGATATAGTCGGACATCAGGGAAAGACGGTGGGGAATGATGTGCGGGAAAGGAGCCACAGGTCACATTTGAACCTGGGCCGTCCGCTTGGAGGACCATAGCCTCCATACATGGGGCGACGCTCTAACCACTGCGCCATCAGCGCTCCAGTAACAAAGCTTTTGACTGACAAAATCGACTGGAACAATGGCTTCAATAAAATATAATTAGAAGAAATAAACATGGATAACAGTCAAAACTGCTGAGAAGTGTCGACTTTTTTCCCCATCAACGAACAGGAATCTATTTATCTCAACGCTTGTTTATTTCACAGAGAGAGTTCAAAAGGCAAAGTAAGACACACCTCAAACATACACATTACTGTTTGACTTCAGTATCTGTGACACAAACTCACACAGGAGCTCTCCAGCTGGTGTCTGGCTCAGGTGTTTGAAACAAAGATCAGAGCTCAAGATCAGAAATGGTAAATTGACTCCAGTCTTCTGACTACTCAAAGAGCTTTAGCATCGCAGGTCACACCTACCCATTCACAAACTGATGTATTGCTATGTATCAGATGTAACTAATCCCATTCATACACTTTCATATGCTGCCAATCAAGAAGCGGGACAAAATTGAGTCTTCACCCAGGACACATCTGACATGTAGCTCCAGGAGCTGGGACTCAAACCCTGACCTTCTGGTTAGGGGACGACCAACTCTACCACTGAGCTACAGCCGCCACTCAGAAGCAAACTAACTGAAAAGTTTAACTCAGCTTTAACTGAAGACGAACGAAGGTCTCTCAGGCCTGCCAAAAGTGGGAATCCCTTATAAAATATCCCATCGTTTTGATTTTAATCATTTGAAAAGTGGAGAAGGCAGGGTTCAAATGTCAAAATTTAAATTGACAAATTCTGCCTGCTTCGAAAAACTTAGGTCACTGATCAAGCAGAGAGAGTCTATCCATGCTGACAGCACGACTACTCGTCAGTATTACTCTGAGCTCATTCCTTATGTCAGTATGCTAACATGCTCACAATGACAATGCTAAGTAGAGGGTGCCAATGAGATGCCATGTCTACCATTGTGTTTGAACATGCTAGCTTGCTAACATTAGCTAACTAGCACTAAACAGAAAGTAAAACTGAGGCTGGTGGAAATAGTGTCAGTTTGACATGAAAAGATGAAGAGTTAAGGGATAACCAAAGTTACAACCATTCATTATAAATGTCTGTACTCGTTTTTTTGGTAATCAATCGAATAGATGATAAGATGCTTCAATACACACCGCAAATCTGAACCTCATGGCGCAACTAGATAAGAATGCATGGGGTCAAAAGGTCAGAAGGATTCATCCTCTAAGGAAACATGAAGAACTCTGTAAATAACTTAACCATGGAACTTGGATGACTGAGCAAAACAACACGGCAGCCCATGTTGTACAGTTGATGTTGAGATATTTCAGCCTGGACCAAAAGGTGAAAGATTAACACTGCTATTAACAAGGTCCCCATCATAAATATCTAAGACAATAACTGGTGCACTTCAGCCATCTCGACTTTCAGAAAGTGTTGCAAATCGCTGTGGATTTTACAAACTGAATTATTCGATTTTGGCAATATCTGAAAACATTTTGGTTTTAGTCCTATTACACATTACTCCAATTCTCGCTTCACTACACTGGCGACCTGTTACACACAGAATGGACTTCAAAATCTTGTTAATCACTTATAAAGCCCTGTGTGGCCTGGCACCTGCATATATTTCTGAGCTGTTACATCCTTACTGTAGAGGTCGGCCTCTTTGTTCATCTGATCAGCAGCTTCTTTTAGTTCTTCACTCTCAATGTAAAACGAGAGGTGACTCCCAAACTCTGGAACAGCCATCAGATTGTCTGAAACTGTGGCTTCTTTTAGACGGCTGTTAAAAATGTACTTCTTTAGGCTAGTCTTTTTATAACTCTTCCTGTTTGCCTAATGCTGTTATTTCTAGTCGTGCTCTATTTTTGTCTGATATGATGCCCCCCTACATGTGACTTGTGTATACCATATGTTAGTATCTCATGTTTTCCCCTGTGTAAAGCACTTTGTACAGTGTGTTTTAAAAATGCAAAAACTATATAAATACATTTCATTATTTAATCAACATTTCTCTGCTCGTAATGCCACTAAACCCTTGCATGTTTCATGTATTTTTCCAAATACTGCTCCAATTTTTGAGGGTATATCGATAGCAGTAACTCTATGTTCAGGCCTTTACTGATCACATGCAACAGTTTTCTATAAACATACCTTACAGCACCTCCTGCTTGAACTTATCTTACTTTCTTTAAAGACTTGTTTCTGAGCCTCTCAGCATGTTATTGGTAGAGAGTGCTGGTTGTGAGTGACAGCCACACCTTAAATGATACACCCACACTGACATAGAAGAGAGAAGCATGAAATACAGGAGACAAAACAAGACCGGCGAGTCTGGCAAGTATGAGGCAGATAGAAAGGTGGGGGGGAGCTAACTGCTGTGTTTGTGGAAAGAAATGTCACTCAGGGAGACATGGGCACTAATCATTTTAACACGGCTACAACAACACGACTAAAACAAGTGAGAGTTGCAGAAGTTCTGTCATCATGTGACAAGTAAAACCTGGCCAACAATGATGATGGTTAACAGGCGTGAAACTGTACCCACGAGCCAGAGGAGGCTGAAGCAAAAGAAACAAGGGACCTGTGATACTCTTGTTCCTAATGAACCCTAAAGGCTGTATTTGTTTCAAATGATCACACAGGTATAAAAACAGGAACGCCACATGGCTGAAATCGCTTCCTCCTTACAGCAGCAGATCCTAAATGCATTTTCCATGTGACCTTCATATCACACAGCCTTGACACAGTTTGCCCATTAACTTCTAAATCCTGTCCAAATTTTATCTTCAGCGGAGTGTGTTGTAAATGCATGCCAAAGTGTTTCTTTTGTCATTGTCAGCTAGTGAATCCTACTCTTACCAAGTCCTCAATCCTGAAGGAAGAGTGATCACGATTATAAAAATCCTATTCAAGAGAGTTTAACGATTTGAACCCACGGCAGCTGCAAAGTGGACTATAGCCTCTGTCCACATAACCACAAGGCTACTGGCATCCCACTTAGTTCTTAGTTTATTATTTAACCAGGGAAAACCTAATTGAGTTTAAGAATCTCCTTTACAAGAGTGTCCTGACCAAGTCAGGCAGCAGCACAGTTTACACAGTTACAGACATACATCACATAAATGAATAAAAACCACAGGTCAACAAATCCATGGCCACAGAGCAGAAAGTTATTAGTCTAAGCATCTACAACCTGATGCATTATCCTCCAACACCTATTACGACTGAAATGATGTAAAGAGACCAGAGAGTTATTTCTCATATAACATTTGAGATATCAGCTAATTCCGTACCATCTGGTATTAATTCAGCTTAAAGCTTAATCACTCGATGACTTGAACTCCTTAGATGTATTGCATTTATTTAAGTTGACACACATCCATTCAATAAGAGCTAATGATGCTAATTTCTTTCCAAGGCCTCTTCCAACTACTTTCATATCGTTTGTAACTTTTACTTCCTTGTCACTCTTGATATTTAGGCTCTAAAAAAAATGTTTGAATGGCATGTTTCAAATGATGAACTAAAACTTAAACGTCTAATTTTAGGTTTACACAATCCGCGAGGACTACTTTTAGTGAAATCTTTAACTGTGACCCTCCACTCTCATATCAGTCCGCCTTTAACATGGAAAAAACAGCATGACCCTGTCCTAAATTTTAAAAAAATACGTGACGCTGTTTAATCGCAAGTTAATAAAAAATAAAGTTTGTTTGACTACAATGCATTTGTGTGATATTAAGTGGAAAGGGGAATGTGAGGAATGCAAAGGAGCTGCTGTCTAACCAGTAGGTGATAGTTAATGACCTAGATTCATTTTATTACCTACTGACAGAAGTGTCCGATTAGCTGCCACCGAATACATGAGAACCTGAGTTTCGGTGGATAAACCAAACAGGTGTGAGGTGAAAAGGTAAAGACAGGAGTGGCTGCAGGTGACTACTTCAGAGCAACAAGTCTCCCAATGTTCACCGCTTGTTGACATACGGAGACGTTTGCGACTTTAACTAAGACTGCCAAAAAAAAAAAAAGACCATAAAAGTAACGACAATATCACCTGGACTTGATGTGCCATAATGCCTCTGCTGTTGGTTCAGAGTTCAATGAAAACATAAAAAGAACAAACCCTCCCGGTTTCTAAGTATTGTCGCATAGCTCAGACAACTGTCGTTTACCGAATGATGTGAAGTACTCATGTTGCATTATTCATCAACACCGAGTATGTCCGAACAATTATATCTTACCTTGTGATGAAATGAAACAGAGAGACGCGATTTTGGGTTTCTATCCGGGCACAAACAAGAGAGGGGGGTGGGGGGGGAATAATATCTGTTGACAACTTCTATTGAAAGGAGGAGACAGAGAGGATGCCTCGGGAGGAACAAGTGCACGAATAATAAAAACATGGAGTTGAGGTGAAGGGATGTGGTTTAAACTCAGGTCCCAGCCTCCTCTGGGTGAGCACTTCCTTCGCTATTTAAACCTGCATTCACGTACTCCCCGGAAGCTCGGAAATTTGAGTTTTGAATGATTTTATTCGTTTATTTAGCAGGGAAACAGGCAAAGGATATTGCTTCGCATGTAAAATACTGTTCTAAAAGTATATGCCATGTATGTATGTTTTTAGCCGTGGCTAATTTGAAAACCCTTTCCCAATCTTTTAGGCTCGAAGTCTCACTGTAAGTCAAGTAGCATAACTAGAACTAAGTCAGTAAATCAAGGTTCCTGTATTGTATTACTAATATTTAAAGTATTTAAATAGTCGTGCATTAAGCTTCACATCATGATAACGTCGTTTTTTTTTTTTTAAAGAAAAAAAGTCTGCTTACTATGTGCGCATCAGATGAGCCTTCACGGGAATAAAACACGATGCATTCATGTGTTGTCGTAAATACCATAGTTATGAACATAGCACGGGGAGGAGGCGAATATAACTCATTTAAGTTAAGAATTGTGACAACAAACTGTGATAATACTCCTCTGCAACTAATCATACTGCATTCAACAATTGCCCTTCCACGTCCTGTTGGTGCAGGTTTACTCTGTAATTTTAAAAAGGGCCGTTTTGAAAAAAAACCCAACAACATCGATGCCAGCTGTGAAGAGTAGATGTATTCATTACTGTCGCTAAATTAATTTCTTGTATTTTACTTTAGCATTTTTACTTTCTAAAACCTTATATTTACACTACTCCACATTTAGAAAAATATATATATTTGTACCTTACGTAACAACACTTCCTTTACTCCGTAACCAGTAACACTTAAAGACTCAAATTATTATAATGTATACAAATGGCAAATCAATCAGTGAAATCTGATTACATGCCGTTTAAAGTGTTACAATTTTAGTTCCTATTGTTGAACTTGTAATAGACTTCATGATCTGAATGCTTGCCCCGTTTTCCCCCTGAATGTGCGGCTAAGCTGAGGATTACTATGAGCGATGAAGGCAGCAGAGGTTGCGTCCCTATGCATTTTAACAATTTCCCCGCTAGGTGGCCACGGTCTTAAACCCAACTTAACCATAACACCTTAAATGTGAGTAAATATAATTTGAACATTAAAAAAAATGATGACAATCTTGAGGTGAGTGAAGCCCATGAAAGACAATACCTAGGTGTCCTTTTGGGTATAGTTAATTTATTAAAGGCTTTATATGTTATTTTTCACACTTAAATATTATAGAAATCAAGTATATCCTCTGAAAATAACTCTGTGAGTCATGACGGTCTACAATGGGTGTAACACCCGAGTCCCACTGTCTGTGATGTTTTCAGAGGTTTCAGTCATATTTTCAGTTTGTTGACATCGCTCGGACAGCAGCTGACTCCTCCCTCCCGCAAATAAAAGTTGTTTAATTGAGGGACTAGAGAAAAGAAGAATAACATACTGTACTCACTGCTTAACTGTGTTTCTAGATCAATCTAATTTCAGGTAAATTTACATGCAGTGTGAAGATACGAGCATAATAAACATCGCTAGCATTAGCATGCTAACACAACAATGCACCACAAGTTGTTTTGGTTTCATGCTGGTGCTCAAGGGCAACATCTACTGGATCAAAAAAATCAAAAATAAAGCCTTTAAAGTCTACTTTTTAATTGAATCATTCACATCTTCCTTCGTGTTTATCTAATTTTATTTTCTTAAGTTCCTATTTCTTATTGGGTGGTTAGCTTTTCTGGTCACCCTGTAACTCATCATTGCTCCTTTTGTTTTCAATCTTTTGAGATATACAGATTTTTAAAACTTCTAAGTAAAATAACTTTTTCAATTTGACCCCTTACAGTTTTGATAATTAGTATTCATTGCTGCTCTGAGACAACTTTTGAAACTTACTAGGATATTAATTTTAGACAATTCTAGTAAGTATATGGTGAGAGAAATGTACTCGTAAACAAGAAACAGCTCGTCGCTTACTGTTTTGGGTCACAGGACTCTGAGCTGCACTGTTATGTCTGATTACATAACAAAATATTTGCCTTGAAGGGACTAACATAGTTCCTAATGAACAGATATTTACTGAGGTTAACCTTTACAAACCTGCTATTCTCAAAGGACATTTTTCAGCATAGCTTAGCTGTATTAGTGACTGACAGTATGGGAAAACAACTTCAAAAAGAGCTGAATGTTCTTAGGATAACTTGTTCTAATATACCACTTAACAGTACAGCGATTCATAGTCACATCCACAAGGAATGAGGCATAAGTATTGTATCTTTTTGTTTAATTAAAGAGTGCAATACCCACTGAAAAGACCAATTCTAAAGAGCATGACAGGATAAAGAAACACAATACAAAACAAATTTTAAGCGTGATGCCATAACACAAGGACACTTCAGGTCTTTAAGTACAACAAAGAAATCAGGGAATAGAGGGTTGGAATTTAAAATCTATTTCTATGAATGGAAAAATACAAGCAGTGGTGAAAAATTAAATCATGGACCATTTCACATGAAGTGCTTGTTTACAATGTGTCAAAGTTTTAAGCTATCAACTCGATGTATCCATTGAAGGGTTCAACACATAAGGGAAAACACTAGAAAAAAAGCCAGATCTCACTAAAAAGGTGTTTCACATACATTTTTGACATTAATAATCATTGTCACACCACTTTTGAGACCGATCTATTCTGATCTATTAACACATGTCTTCCAATTAAGTGCCCCTGGTTCAGATTCAGTGGTGATCCAGATAGACTGTTCTGATTGCTTCATGGCACACATAAAAAAAATAGTTCTTGTTATTTGTTTCCAACATACCAAGATGTCATCATTCTTTCTACAATGATTTATTCATGTTAAAAATGGTACTGACATCACCTCGGGATAAACGCTTAATTGTTTCAGAGATGTGGGTGGAATTAGAAACTTAGATGAGCAACCTTTAACTTAAACACCCAGGAGCTCCACTTCGAAAATTAGAGTGGAATTTGGTGGGATGACCGGCGGGTACCCTTTGGCGCCGTAGGCGTAGTCAGATGAGCAGGTCAACCTGGCCAGTTCACCAACGCTCATCTGTGGAGGAGACAAGGAACAAGTTACATAAAGATATTAATGTAGTTTAAAATTAATTGGATGATCTTTCTTTTTGTGGAGTCTGAGGTTTACTTAAATTCAGTCCAGAGTATAAATAAACCTTAACAGGCAGTGGTATCTTAAAGGCAATGGAGATATTTCCATAATCTAGCTAATAAAATTAAGCCAATGCACAAGTGCAAAAAACAACAACAACTGCAGTTCCTCTAGTGCCCTCTTGATAAAAGTCAAGGCATCCCCATTAAATCCCATATCGAAATGCCTGTTTTTAAAGTGGAAATGAACATGTTTACAGCTTGGTAGCATTTCTTGTAAAAAAAAAAAATAATTTCTTTATTGGTACACATGACAGGGGGGCAATTATCATCCATTAAGAAATGATTAAGTCCAAGAATTATTCTTGAAATGCATACTGAGAGGCATGTCTGAGTAGTTTTCAAAGTGTCTTTCCATACCTGTGCTACACCCTCATCCCACGCCTTGATGACTTCACCTTGACCAATTTTGAATTGGAAGGGCTCTGCCCGGTCCCTGGAGGAATCAAACTTTTTCCCACTTGTCAGTGTTCCTGTAAGATGACACATTTAAAAAAAACAAAAACAAAACCGTTTTAAGCATCCACTTCGTGCATTGATTCTCCACAAATGAAAACGACTTGTAATGCTCCCTTTTGTAAAACTTCAAACAAATTTGAATGAGTGAGCACAATAGGACAATTATTTATTTCATCTCTGAAAATAATATATCTGAATCTGGGAATGAGATCTCCTCAGGATATTTAATGTTTCATTCATTATGAGGCTGCAGCATGAGCACGGTTAGCTTTACGAGCTTAGCGAAAATAATGGCAGAGAACGGAAACCCCACATCTGGATCACGCTTGTGAATTAATAACATATGGGGGGAGGGGGAGGGGGTGAAACAAACGAAAATGCTTTAATAGTGAGCATAACGGCGTGCTGATATCAGATTTAGTTTACCTTAAACGACAAGGCTTGCCCCTGACTCCAGTCTGTGTGCTAGGCTAAGCTAAGCTGTAATGCTTGCGACCCCCCCCCACCCCCCGTTTACGTTACCAGTCCGCAAGAAGCCGAATACGCCATTTCTAAAACGAGAGAATACACTATTTCGTTTGACATATATTCAATATCGACCGTGGGTTCATATTTAATTTAAGAGATATTTCAAATTAAACATGATTGAGACCTAAAAACGTGACATGGCAGCAGTGAGAAAACGTCTTACCAACGTAGTGCACGGTGACCGTCTGTCCCCTCTTTGGGAAAGTCTTTCCTAAAAGAGGAACAACGAACATCAGAATTTATTCATTTAAAAAAAAAAAAAAAAAAAGAATTGTCTTCAACACAACAATTAGAAGGACTAATTAATCTTTACCGTCTCCGGGTCTCAGGGTTTCCACTTCGACACCCATTGTTCTTTCAGAGCAGTCTTCCCTCTCACTTCCTGGAGCACGAGCTCTCTCGACTTAGCGACCGTGTTCTGTTACGCGCGATGTGATTGGCTCGTTCAGCGAGGACTACTTGTCTCGGCGCATGAATGAGACCACATTGCAGAGGAGGATCTTCTTGGCGAGGTGTTTTTTTTTTTAAGACTGCTAAGTGTGATTTTATGTGTGTGGGTGTTTGCGATTGGTTCACTGTTCATCTTTGTGAATTATGTTATTGTATAAATGTGTTTTAATTAAGCATAAATGCAAATAAAATCGATGGTTTAGCAGCAGGGGCGTTGTACTGAGGCGCAGCCATGAAGACGCTCAAAAGGGGGACGACGAAAAACACGGTGTAACAATAAAAGGCTGTTCTCATTGATAATTATGAAACCTAATGTTATATGCATCTTTATACACGTATGACTGTTGGTTAAGTACATGCCTGGACGGACTATTTTTTAAATCTAAATGACACTACAGCCTCAGTAAGACCAACACCCCTATAAAATGTCTAAGTGGTTTCGTCCTCTCCCTATGTAAGCGCTTCAGGAATGTAAGTATAGTCTATACATGTACAACATCCACTCCCTTTTTGTTTTGTGGTTTATCTATAGTCTTTGCTTTAGCCCCGTTTTCTCAACCTTCAACCTCATATGTATAATGATGACGCTCCTGCTAATGATGTTTAAATATATAAATGACACAGAGGCATTAATTAAAGGTTTATATATAAAGTCATTAGAGAATATTGATTATGGCGGGGATAGGGCTGTACATACACAAAAATAGGTGCCTAGTTACACTACACTGTTTTAAATATATCATTCTAATATTCAATAAACCTATATTTTTATGATATATTTGTGTATAATTAATTTCTGTATTAAATCATTAGGTGTCAATACCTATAAAGCAGTATGATGTATCAATATGATTTATACAAAAAAATAAATCACAAGATAGAGATTGAATTTATTTGCACACTTTTACACGTTTGTTTTTCTGTGCTTACCTGGCACATAAAGCCACTGTTGATCATTTACAGTTCATATTTGTTGGCATTTAAAAAAAGTGATGTTTTATCTTTTTAAGTCTCACATATATACTTCATGAACAAACAAAAAGTGTTCATAAACTATGAGAAAACACAGTTATTATTTCTGTCTGTTTCAATGTAGTTGACTTTCACTTTGATAATGTAAGATTTAGACAGAAACACTTTACTCAGCATTGTTCACACCTCATCCATTACCAAAAACCAGTTCAACAGGAGAGTTGATTCTGCTGGTTCCACAACAAACAGCATGACATACGCTAAGACCAAATCTTAGTTTCAACACATTTATACACAGTTTTAATTTTCAAAGTACAAGTGTCACTTATTCTCAGCTAGGCAGTTCTGTTTCTCTGCATGGAAGGATTTTCAGGCAATAAATAACGTATGTTAGTATAATACATTTCCAGTTGTCATTATTGAAAGAAAAAGCCACTGATCCTGCCATTACATATCTCTGTTTGAGGGAACACCAGCACTGATAACACATGTGGTTTATGTGATTGATTGTAGTTATTAATCTGGATTAGGCATCAGATGAGGTCGTAGCGGTGTCAGGCACATTCGTGGAAGGATCGTACAGTTTGTTGAAGAAGGAGAAGTCAGATTCATGTTGTGTGACCTGTGAGGGGAAAAAAATGTTTTCTGATCATCTGAACTCTTTCAAACACAAAATGTTTTATTTTCAAACCCTGCTTTCTTACATCTGTTTTGCTTTCAAAAACGTCCAAAGCAGAGTTTTGGTCAGTTGAGTCGTTGTGCATAATTGACGGCTCGTTCCTGAGCAAAAAGCAAGCAGAAATGTCAGCGAGGATAATCTTGCATATTTTTTTACAAGATAATGATTAGTATGTAAATGACTCAGGTATTTAAACAACTGCATACATTGTTCTCCACTTTCTGTTCAGCATGAAGAGGAGGATGGTGATGATGACTCCAGCCAGCAGAGTGAGACCCACTGCCAGACCCACGGACATGTCTGCAGACACAGAGGAACAAGAGAAACAGGATTAACATTGTGAAGGTTTAAAGTGGTCTTCACTTCAAGCATTAGCAAAAGAATTATCTGAGGAGGCTGCTCCAGATTATTTTTTTAAAGGATGAGCATGATGATATTCTACATTTTTACTTGCTTTCCATAAAAAGGCCAAAAACTATAATTATTTAATCACATGCCTGTGCAGCCAAATCCTTATAAAGGGTATTGTTCTATTCGATCTTCACTCTAAGCTTCGGTGTTGTTCATAAACTATTAAAAAAAAAAAAAAAATGAGCTACAGAACTGTACATATTAATACCTCTTCTGATAAAGCTTTAAATGCATTATTGGCAAGTCTGTCAGTAAATACATAAATCTGATAGCATCATTTATTCCCCCCAAATTAATCTTCTAAATCTTCAAATCTTCAAAGACTGAATAAAAAGATGGATGACATGACAGCTCCTCAAAAGTGAGACTGAACAATTTGAAGCTCCCCCTACAGACTGCAGTCAAGGTCATAGGCTCTGCCTCTTCTCTGTTTCTCTATGAAAACAGTTCATAAACAGTCCATGCCGAGTTGGAGCTTTGTGTATCTTTTTGAAGTGACAGAAGCCATGGCATACAAATTCACTATTCAAACCTTTATTTGTTTGAAATATTATTTGTAAGGTATTTGTAGTTATCCATTTGTGACCATTTTTAAAGATTTAACTCGTTAGTGTGGTTAAAAATGGTGTGGATATATATATAATTATTAAGCGACATTTTGTTAAACTTACATCCACCCCAAAACTTGATACAAGAAATTGTGTGGACTCATATCTACCGGTACATGGTTTAATCATCTCTAGATAATTTGGATTTGGTTCGATAACTTGTGAATAAATTCCTAATAAAAGGGGATTAGAAGAAAATGGTTCCTTCTTGTCTTCTGTAAAATAACTCACAGCTGAGGAATAATTACGGTTGCTTGGTTGAAAAAGCGAAGGTGAGTTTTGGGTTACCATTATTATGATCAGTAGGGCCAATGGGGTCTGTGTAGCAACCGCTGGAGAGTATGATGATGTCATCAAGAGCAACATCCCCCCCTGTAGTCATCCCCCTCTGGTACACAAACACAAACTGTAATAGAAAAAGAAAGTTCAGATCAAGCACGGAATAAACAAACAAACAGGAACTAAACATTACTGTTACTTTATGTTCATAATAATAAAGTGATCTTTTTAACTTTTTAACTTTCTACTGACACTCGCTCTAAAGAGACTAAATGTTGTTTCTAATCAGAAACATCCAGAATTATTTTTGAGTAAGTATAGTTAAAAAATATTACCCAAAATGCTTCTGTAGGTTTAATAGACACTCTGGCCTCGTTCCACTTGTCTCCTTTGTTTCCTGCCTCTATCCATATCAGAGTTCCTTCTTCATTACCACCAGTATGTGTGTTTCTATCAGTGAGCACAGAACACATTTAAATTACTGTACGGTAAATGTCATCATAGTACATTTCATATTTATCATTAATACAGATAGTTACCTGTCATTTATGTAAACTCTCAGAGTCCCAACATGGTTGCCATACATGTGATACCAGAATGACAGACAGTGACCTCTAGTGGTTGGAGAGAACACATCACTAACCACAAAGGACATGTCTCCCCACTCGCCCACTGAGCTGTCCACGTACAGATAATGACCTGGTGGAAACAAGGAAAGAAAACTCTGGCTCTCAGATTAATGTTTTTTTTTTTTTTAAGTTTCCAAGAATCAGATTTAATAACACTTCATGACCGCCTTCAGAGTCACATGTATGTATTATTACCATGTGTAGAGTTTGTGGTGTGATCAACACTGGGTCCGGTGTTGGGGTTTGGGGAGGCTCCACTGCCGCGGAGCCAGTCCCCCTGGTCGACTTTTCCTCCCAGGTTGGTCCAGCTGCACATGTTGATCTCAAAGTCACAACGTCCATGAGTAGGACACTGAGTGTCTGTCAGCATGACATCATCAAAAGCCATGTCTCCCTCCTGTGTAGGGCCAGCCTTTACACCCTCCACCACTATCTGAAACACAGAGCGCATAGCAGATCATGGGGATCAAACTGTGAACTTAAAGTGTCATTGAGAAGTTAAAAGTCGTGTTTAAGATGTCATCACGGTGGCAGACTTTTGTCTAACAAGGTTTAATCTTGAGGCAAGGAAGCCAGGGAGTATTTTAGTTGTCAGTTCAGCTAAATGGCCTTGTTGATATCTTTACAGGCTACATTTGCACAAGTCAATCCCAGTGATAATATCATATACAGTTTCAGGTTATGAGCAGATGTTTAAAGGTATCAAGTTGCTGTCTTCTTAATGGATTGGTATTGATATGGTTATTATTTTTGATAAACTGACGTCACCACTGATGAGAGGGTGTCTCTCTCGTCGTAACTGATGCTTGATTCACAGTTTCTAGTGTTTTATCATACAGGTATGATGGACTAGGCTAATGCTGTCATATACGCATCATTTGTTTTCTGTGTTACCTGGTTTAGTTGACAAATGTGTCTTAGAGCAGAAGAGTTGAGTAGAAGAGATAACACGACTACCTTCCACTATTATCCATATTCATCTCTTATCTTAGTTTGAATGATAAGAGTCTGTCTACCTGGACACGGTCAGGAGGACTCACCCTGTAAGGCTGAACCCAGGGCAGAAGTGAAGCCTGAGCGAGCCTCCACAGCCGGCCCTGGTCTCCTGCCTGAGAGAAAATCAGAGCTCGCTTCCCTTCTTCACTCTGCTGGTAAACGTTCAGCACCCCCATGCCCGCGCCATACATGTGGTACCAAAGTTGCAAACACGCTCCTTGACCTGAACGGACACAGGGAAAGTAATCAGACCACATGTGATTTCAGAGAGGTTTGAAACAACAAAGCACAACTTACTGTTGTTCACATTTAACCTCTATAAACCACAGGGCATTTAGAAAAGCTACATTAAGGTACTTGAGTATTCATTATGTTTCAATCCTTTTAACTTTGTACTCTCTTCTGTCTGGGAAAGAAATCTTTTAGATTTTTTTCTAATACATCTATTAAATCTATAAAATAATGAATTAACCAACAAGCCAGTCAAATGAGGCCTTAAATATAAATGTGATTGAGCGATTAGTTGATCAACAGAAAACAAGTAATGTCCTTTTTAATGTAAAACATTGAATGATTCTAGCTGATGTTTTACTACATGCATGACAGTGTGTCATATTGTTGGTATGTTGCAGTTCTTGTTTGGTCTTACTGGATCACAACGACACCATCTTGATGCCTGTTAACCGGCCACTTGTCCTATCAAATGGGAATAAATAAGGGCGTTGGTGGCCTATAGTAGTTAGTGCCACAAAGGAGGCCCAAGTCCTTGAGCGCAGACGGCCCGGTTTGAATCTGACCTGTGGCTCCATTCACTCCATGTCGTTCCCCACTCTCTCTCTCTCTTCAGTTTCTGACCCTATCCACTGTCCTATCTCTAAGATAAACTTCAAATAAATCATTAGCTCTAGTTTAGTTGTATCTTAGTTGTTGAGACTGTTCTCCTCCTGGTCAGTTAAATGTTCTTTGTATATCAGAAAACCCTTTGGACTGTCTGCATAAACATCATGAAACACAAAATCAAAGTGGCATCTGAGACCTTATTCTCCTTCTGCAATGCAAGTCTATATTCAACTCTCTCACTTATTGTAGCAAGAATAGAACCAAATCAGAGCCACAGCATTTTGAAACCTAGCTTGTAGATCTGAGAGGACAAAATAAAACAACAGAAGAGAGAAAACCTGTGACGGTCTGACCTGCAGAGTACGGTGGTGAGGACATTTTGGCCGTCTGGCCGGCATCGTCGGAGGCAGAGGAGGGCAGGAGATAGTAATGTCCTGTGGGTGTGTTTGTGGTGTGGTCGCTGTCTGGCCCTGTGTTGGGATTAAAGGTGTGGCCCGACTGACGGACCCAGTCAAAGTCATCGGTGGTCTGCTGCTGCCAGTTACAGCTCCCCTCCTCAAAGTCACACAGAGCTGCAAGAAAAAAGATCCCATAATGCAACTAAACAGTACAATCAAAGCAAATTTAGTCCAACCAAAGACTGAAATGTAAGCATGCAAAGCAAATAGTAAAAACAAAGGAATTGTGCATTAATTGAATATTCCAAGCTTTGATTTGTTTCTTGAGGGAGAATTATTGACAGCACAACAGTGTCTTTGCATTAATCAAATTAAATACAGTGCTCATCTCATTTCACCAACTATACCAATATAATATATAGACCAACTACAGAGCTCTATTGCAAGGACAAATAGGACATATCAGGCAAAACTTTGTTGATTTTCATGTCTTTTTTTTTAACATGTGGTACTAAGTTGTCAATACTTCCTATTGGTCAAGATTAAATTATGTTAAGGGTCATTAAGTACAAAACAAATGAGAGGTGAGAAGTGAGAGAGGCACCTTTGATTGTGTGAACATTTTCTTATGCAGTGCAGGATTACCAGACAAAGTGAATCAGAAAAAAGGTTGAGGAGATTTGATTCACTAAGGAGAGAAAGGAGGTCTTCTCTTTTTCAGCCCCCCTTCACTCAATCTATTGTTTTCAGTGTCAGTCTTATTACCAGAGGGGGGACACGGTCCACTGATGAAGGACATGTCATCGATGGCTATATCTCCGGCCTCTCCTCCAACCGTGGCCTCCAGAACCACTTGATGGACTTTCTGCAGGGTCACGTGGATCTGCACCACTTGCCACTCGTCCCCTTGGTTTCCTGATTTTTGCCACACCTACAGGAAGGACAGGAGGTGATTCACTCGTCTCAATGAGGATGTGAGGAGGTTTTTGCAACACCGTGTATGCACTGAAACTGTGCAGCTTGCACTCATTATACAATGCATTCATGTTATTTTGCAATCGGCATTTCACAATAATGTGCAAAGTATCATAACAGAGAGAGAACCACGTTGGAACAGTGACCAATATTTCTCAATCAACCCTCAGAGCCATTTCTCTGAAGTAGTAAAGGGAAGTTATATGTCCAGATTCAAACAGATTTCTTGATAGAAAAACAAAGTGGCCTTCTCTGACCTCTGGTGTCTCTTTACTTCAATATAAATAACTAATAAATCTATAAGTTTAATGCAGGTTTTACCAGTGTTTTCTTCAAATGATCAGCTGTTTTTAGAAGCATCCTCAGAGAGCCAACAGTAGCTCCGAACATATGGTGCCAAAATGTGAAACAGTATCCTTTGTCACCAGCAGATGGCAGCAGTGAAGACTTCAGTTGTGCAGTATTTCCCTTCACACTTGGTTTGGAGCTCTTGATGTAAAGGTATTTTCCTGTGAAACAACATAAACAGCAGTTTAAGCAAAAAAGAAAGTGCACAAGCAACTTTTTTTTTTAGTGATCTGTGATTTCTGTTTGAGCTGTGAGGAGCTTATTTGAACTTTCATTTCAAAACCTTTTACAGGTTGACGGGAGACTATCAAGCGTTTATGACAAAATTAACGATTTCAGAAAAAGGTATAAAAGACAAAGATTTTTTAAATCTAAAGTAGGATTGATCTTTTTCCTTGTTTCTGACTCTTTTCATCGTCTTATGACTTCCAAAGCTAGCAACCCATTAGGTCGCCCCTGTTCCCCAACGTTTGGAACCACTGCCAAACAAAACAACTCCTGGCTGTTACGTAATCATGTTTTACTTTCAAATGCTTTGCTGATGTTTGTAATTATATAAAAGCTTTACTTTTGGAGGCAAAAGTTTACACCTTTTAAAATTGAATTCAACACAATCCCCTATCAGATACAAAAAGTTGATACCACAGCTGTTTAATTCAAAGCTCATGTCTTTCTTTGTCTGGTTTGACCAGAGCAGCTGTGTACCTTACATTAATGAGTCAGTTTTTATTAATCATGACTCTTCTTTATTTGTGCTAATGTGACTAATGGTTCCAGTAATGGTGCAGGAAAATGATGAACATGCACAACATGAACTGATGCACTTTCTGTATTAACTATAATCAATACATGCAATATTATTATTTGGGTTATGGTTATACTGTTTTAGGAGACAACAAACACAGACAGTCTGGAGTGAAAGTGACCTTCGCCGTTGGTGTGGTCTCCTGCTGGTCCCGTGTTTGGGGTTTCAGTAGGACCAGAGTTGCTGAGCCAGTCCAACTCATCGTCAGCGCCCTGAAACCAACCACACAGCCCGTGTTCAAAAGAACAGCCATTGGTGGACAGAGCTGAGGAAGGAAGAAAAAGAGTTTAGGAATGAACAATTTCTTCTCCACAGTGCTTCCCCCCTCAAGACAATTTATGAAGCCTACCGCTTTGGCTCTGTTCTAGTAAGGCATGTGATGTTGACATTTTACTCACCTGGTGGTTGGTAGGATTCTTCACAGTTGACAAAAGAGATATCATCCACTGCAACACTGTGATCTCCAGAAGTAGAGTCCGCCTGAGTCTCTTCATTTAAGGCACTAAACCAAACCTATGAGTAGAAATACTTGAAATCAGGTTTTTGAAGGAATAGCATCCTAAACAAAATAATTAATTCCCTCAAGCACACATTCATGACTGACACTTCTGTGTTTACATCTTCTACTCATTTTCTATTGTTCTAATACATTTGTGTCACATATTTTAGATATAAATGAAAATGGTTTGAGTGCCTCTCTTTTCATGGACTTCATATAAAAAATATTGCACATTTAGATACACACTTAGTTTAAATGCATTGGGTACAACAAGCAAAAATGAATGCAGTCATGCAACCATCTTAATTTTTATTTCTATTTTAAGTTATTTTTTAGGCCATTTTTGTCTTTATTGGACAGGACAGCTGAAGAGAGACAGGAAATGTTGGGAGGAGAGAGTGGGGGGATGACACGCAGCAGAGGGCCGAGGACCTATTCGGACCCACAGTTGCTGCTGCAGCGAGGTCTTATAGCCTCTGTTCATGGCGTGTGACATAACTGGACTATCAGGTGTCCCAATCCTGCAAAGAAGCTTTATTGCATGGTAATGTTCAGCAAAAGTTTTGGTGAATTCAACTTGATGTCTCTTTCACAGACTTTTGGATCTTATTGCTAGTAGAGTAGTTTTCATATTCTGCAGATCATTACGGCTATAAACGTGGCTGACACTTTACAGCAAGAATTCTGAATACAGCTGTTGTTTTTAGAAGTGACACAACTTGATATACTCTACCATACACATAGAACATGTTGTCTACGATATGTGGCACATTATTGCATATTAAATGGTATGTTTATGTATTAAATCTCTATTTATTGTGAATATACTGACAGGTGACACGTTGAAAGAAAAAAAGTACCATTAAGGCTAAACCATCATTTTATGATTAACACATTATGGTACAAATCAAAACATGAATGCATTTTTCTTTCATAATGTCACTTGTCTGTGGATCCTTGTCATTGCGTTAACATGTAACTGTTAAACACCTTATAAGGCCGCTGGTGCAGGCCGAGCGGCAGCTGCTCTGGGGTCCAGTGGGACTCCGTGTTGTGACTGCGTGACCACAGTATTGCTTCACTCCCCTCAGCTTGCTGCATAAGCACTCTGAGTGACCCAGCATTCTCTGCGCTGATATGGAAGTGAAACCTGCGTTTAGGAAAGGAGGAAGAAGGGGAGAGTGTAGGATTGGGAAGAGAGTTGCATGTTAAAGAGTCGGGGGCGGTGGGGGTGCATTGAGCAATTCATATGTTGGTTTTTCAACTTTGTTTCATAAAAAAATACTTCGGTTATTACTTACTTCATCTGGCAGTAGAGTGAAGAAGGGGCGAGTGGGGGACTCTGAAGTCTGGCCTCACTCTGAGTGGAGCCCTCACTGAAATTCACTCCCATGTAGTAGCCTAAGTACGAGAGAAAACATCCTCAATCAGCAATGTTTAATTGCAGTTGTGATGATTTCACATGATTAAACATTTCATTTGTCTTTTGGATCCACAAAAATAAAGGAGCCATTCATTCAATGAGCCACTAAAGTCACCAGTTCCAGTGGTCTGGTCTGTGGGCGGCTCACTGTTGTGACTGGATTTCCGTCTCTGCCACCTGCTCGGTCCAACGCCGGTGTCAGCCCACTGGCACTGGTCCCTCTCAAATGTGCACGGACCTGAAAGTTTACAGTAAGGCATGAGTAATCATGATGAGGAAAAGGAACGTTAACACTGCTTCATGAATCACATTTTAAGATTTATTTTGGGGCTTTTTGTTCCTTTATTGTAGAGATAGGACAGTGGATAGAGTCAGAAATTAGGGAGAGAGAGACTAGGGAATGACATGCAGGAAAGGAGCCACAGGTCGGATTCAAACCTGGGCCGCCTGCTTGGAAGACTACAGCGCACTAACCACTGCGCCACCAGCGCCCCCTGAAAGAATATTTTTTTACAGCAGCTTTGAAATTGACATAGTAAATGTAACTGTGAGCTCACCACAGCCATCCTCATCCTCTCCCTGGGGGCAGTGTGAATAATAATCACACTTTAAAGAAGCCTGAATACACCTCTGTTCTCCGGCTGAACGCCAACAGAAAAACTCATCCTCCTGCAACAGAAAGCGGATAGTGGATTTAATCTTCAACAGGGATACTTTAACTTTCACAGGACTGTCATTGCGTCACGAGCTATTTTATGTGAGGTAGTTTACCTGACAGGGATTGGTGGGTGCGGTTGAGGTTGAGGTTGAAGCTGGACTCATGGGTGTTTGAGGGGATGTGGGTGGTGCAGGGGTTGGTGATGTGTCAGGCAGTTTGTTGTTGTCAGGATCAAATAAACATTCCCTGGAGAAAGAGATGTCGTCCAGGGCGACGAGTCCTCTGCGTTCATCCACTCGCTCATACCTAAAGACAATCTGAGAAGGGAAATAATCTAAAAAAACACAGAACTCTGATCATATCATGGCTAGGGCCTGACCGATATAGAATTTTTGGGGCTGATACTGACATCGATATTAGGGAGCAAAAACACCCAATATATTTGCAGATATCTTCTATCTGTAGAGATAAACACGTCTTGTGTTGATCCCTCAAAGGCAATTATCAAACACAACTGGAAAGTAACTGTGCATGTACTTGCATCATCACTTGACACGCTGGAGAGTGATAATGCTTGTTGTGATAATGCTTGCTCTAATCATGGCCCTTTACATCTGTTATTAGCAAACACTTTATTAACAAGGAAGACAAGGCCAAATGTGTGCTTCTGATTTTGTTCAGCTCTTCAGTTTTGCACAATGGTCTATTTATTTATATATGAGTTGATACGTTTTAGATTAGTGAGCAAATGATGTCTCATTCATTAGTCACTAACAGTGTTTGTTGTTTGGTGCTGAGCAGGTAGCTCAACAAATCAATAAACACTTTTTAGAGCTTTGGAAAACAAAGAAATGGATTGGACTGCTCAGGGAACAATGTTATGAACTATCAAGGAACTTCATTCTGTCAGCGCTTCTATCTGTTATTCGATTTGTCTGTTTACCGTCTCACTGACCTTGCTATTGACGGAGATGGAGAATGTGACCTCTGCTTTCTGCCAGCTGTAAGACTGTGAGTCCTCCCTGAGCCACATCACAGTGTCATCGCTGCCAGAGCGCTGCGTCCTGGACTGGGCCGTCAGTCTGGCTGAGGCATCATCAAGGCTGAAGAAGAAGAATCTCACCTACGGGGATACAACAAGTGTAATTGTAGTGAGGTGATTTGAATTCAATCTCTATTGACCCGGTAAACATATAAACTGTGATCAAAATGCAAGGGTGGTAATAACGTACTCTTAGATAAGACACCTGTAACATATTAAAGGCAGCCAAATAAAACTAGGAGTGATTTGGGTGCGTAGTGGAAACACATTGTAATGTGAGCTGCATAGCTTCATAACCACTTCAGCAGCGTGGCTGTAGGATGATGGGTCCCCACTCCACATTTTATTCCTGAATGAAACATTGAGTTGTCATAAAATTTGGTATAAAAATTGATGTCTTTGGGAGCTGGTTGGTCTAACAGCAGTTAGGTCTGGCGCCCAACACACAAAGGTTATATTCATCGAGCGACCCGAGTTCGACTCTAACCCTCGGTGCTTTGCCACATCATTCCCCGCTCTCTCTCTCTCTCTCTCTCTCTCTCGTGCGCGATTTCCTCCTCAATCCACTGTCAAGTACACTGAGTAAAGATCATCAAAGCCCCAAAAACATTCATGTTTCCTAGATTATTTATTTCACTTTGATGAGACCTATTTTTTTTCCCTCTGCATCATCAGCTGAAAACATTCACCACCAAATATCCAGAAAACTAATGACATTCTCGTCACTCCCAGCTGTACTTAAAGTTTTTTAGTTAGTGTTAGCATGCTAACACACATAGCTAAGTTTCATTACTGCAGCGTGTAAGCCTCATTAGTTTTTTTTAGCTCTTGTTACAGCATGGTGTATATGAACCCTGTTAGGATGCAACCTATGCTAACTCTGTTAGTCATGTCAGTCTGGTATACAAGCCCACTTTCATATCGTCTGTGCAACTTTGAACACTCACAGTGCAGTTGGAGCTGGGCAGTAAAGTTTTGGAGAGAATCTCTGACGTCTGGCCATCCTCTGTCAGGTGAGTCCCAGGGACAATGTAGTGACCTGATGAATGGAAATGGAAAATAAAATAAAAAGTCAGCTTTGAAGAAAATAAGTAAAAGGACATCAGCATCAAAAGTTATTCAGACCCCTAAGGAATAGACGAGTGTAGCGAGAGTCTGATACCTGCACCAGTGTTTTGGGTGTGATCTCTCGCAGGCCCATATTTGGGCCAGGCTTCCTGTCCGTTGTGATGGCTCCACTCTGCTCCAGGTGTGTCCACGTCGCTCCCCATCCAGGAACACAGGCCTCGCTCAAAACTGCAGCGCTCCTCGAAACCTTGTTGCTCTAGATTGTTGCCATTATAAAGATAAAGGGAGGAATAGGACGACCAGTTACAAAGCACTTGTTAAAAACATCAGTCAGTGAATGTGCCAGGCTGCAACAAACAGTCAAATTCATTTTCAATCAATCAGCAGGCCCGGCCCTCTGTGTGATTTCTGTCATTTCTGTCAACTCATTGTTGCTGGTCTATGAATGTGAATACATTTTTCTCAAGCCACACAAACATTCACAGAAGTTTACATTGAGAGAAAACATTCTGAGGAAATAATGATAAACCCCTCGTCATCAAGTTTTATACATTTAAATATACATTTCTGTTACATAATATCAAAATGTCAAAGTCTCAAAGACGAAGAAGGAAATTATGTAACAACGTTAAGGAGAAGAAGAACAACACAGGGAGTGGCAGCATAGTGTGAACAGACTCGATGAGTTTACTGTCCCAATGTTTTCAGTATTCTTATATATCTTATATATCTTATATAGATCTCACCACATTTGATCTCATCAGACAAGTCCCCACAGTCATCACTGTAGTCACACACTTGGTTGTGCTCTATACACACACTGTTATCGCACATGAACATATTCTGTGGACACTGGGGCTGCGGCTCTGAAATAGAAATATTAATCCATGAGAGCTAGATTGAAATAATTAGCCAAACTGATAACAAAGAAAGTAAATCAAGATTCCTACCAGGCAGAGTGCAGTTGGTGAAATATATGTCATCTATAGCTATGTGTCCGAGCTTATTGAAGGCCCCCGAGGCCTCAAACAGGATAGTGAAGTCCTGAGGGGTTCTTCCAACTGTGACCTCACCGTGATGCCACGAATCTCCATGGTTACCAGCAAGCCACCACAGTATGGTGGTCCTGGGGCCCTCCTTCAGCAGGACATTCAGCTCTTGTACGTCTGTGACAATGGAAGGAGGAGTTAAATACCAAAGGTAGAAACATAGAGAGGCATCACATGTGGTCTTGATGGTTTAATATGCGGAATGTACCCTGTCCAAACATGTTGTAGTAGAAGTGCAGTGTGCAGGTGGTGCTGGCCTGTTTCATGGTGGGACTCTGCACGGCAGCAGGGCTCATTTGAGTTCCTTGGTCAGGCTCTACGGCCATGTACCAACCTGGATGAATCAGAAAAAGTACCTGGTATGACCCATAGAGAAAACATGAAGCTGTGGAGATCTACCTATCTATAAGTTTCATTTACCAATGTTAAAGATCAAAGCACCTTGTTATGTGGAGGAATGAGCCAAAAATGCCTTAAAGATGAAAAGGGATACTCTTGTTTCTCAACTTTTTGGTGAGTGGAAACTGTGAAGAGTTACTCTATGACATCATTTAGATTTATATGAAAAGAAGGGGTCAAAATGTGTGCCTTGGATTTGAATCTACACAGTCTGAGACAGTCTGTGTGACCTGCCAGGGTCTCCGTTTAACAGTAAAGCCGTCTAGGTAAAGATAACAAAAGAAAGAAAGAAGATAAGTGTGTGACCTTACCCAGTTCAGTGCCCACTGTGTGGTCGACAGGGGGTCCAGTGTTCCCAGCAGCATTCCTTCTTATCCACTGAAGTTGGCCATCACTGATGTCCTCCCATCCACATGTGTTGTTTTCAAATGAACAACCAACAAATCCTAAACTTGTTTCATTTACTACAAGAAAAAGAGAGATTTGTTAATCATCAAACACACTTCACAAATAAACTGCAGAAATCATTATGTGTACCTGGACAAAGGCCTGGTGTGACACTGATGTCATCAATGGCAATAAATCCTCTGGTGTCAGCGTCGGCTTCCATCAGCAGCTAAGTGTCCGTTTGTTAAAGAAGGGAGTGAACACCATTGATGAAATTCTTTCTCTTGTTATTTTGTGTACCCATGATGAGTCTGTCTGAGGTTACCTGGAAAGGTTCGCTGATCTCTATAGACTGATTGAATCTTGTCCAGCTGTGTCCACTACTGGTAGTGCTGAACATCAGATCAGCCTCCGACAGACCTGAACGCAGATACACCTTCAGTGTCCCAGAGTCACTGAGGAACAAGAGGAAAATATTATATTTTATAAGTGAAGTATAAAACCACTTGTTTATTTATTTATTATAATTAGGGACAGTAATACACATTAATGAACATGTTAATATGCCAGATTGTAGCCATCGTCTAATTTCCACCTGTAGTACATGGCAGGTCGGTGGTACACATGTTTACAAAATTACATATAGCCACAATAAAAATGATATACCAATAAACACACGTTTATGTGTGTATGTTGTGCGTGACTGTCTGTATCACACTGTACTGTTGTGTTTTTGTTTTTGTGTTGGACCCCCTCGAAAACGAGATGGTTCATCTCAAGGGGCAATCCATCAAATAAACAGAATTTCTCACACAACAGATATTGACCAAACAACAACATAAACTGTAAAGTGGCTGTGCCATTTGGTTCAAAACCTGTAGGGATAAAGTGACCTTCAGATTTAAAGTGCTGCTAAGGGAGGTAAAGTACTAGAGAATTGAAGTGCCAAAATACAGGAGTATTGCACAAGATTATGAGGTACTGATGTAAATTGCACATTTTCCCTGGGGCTTGTAACTTTAAAGTGTTGCTGTGATTGCACATAGCCCTACTGTACCTTTTTGTACATATACAGTATGCACATAATATTACACAGGGTTAACATACAAACAGTAGATGTGTTTTATGTCTGCAGTATTGCACTGGGCTTAGATACATATTGTAGATGTATGTATGTTGGCATAATGGAAAATTTGATTATTTGATTATTAGATGATTAGACGTGGTCACAGATCTGATTCGTTCAGAGCCACAGCTTCAAACGACCCTTGAAAGTGGCAAAGCTGGAGCATTCCCTGACTGAGAGACAGTGGTGATCTGTTCCTTAATGTGCTCCCGACAAAGCATTTTGATCAAACATGGATCGCCTGAGGGGAAACTCGCAGTCACCTCTAACAGTTGGCAGTCACCTCTTACAGTTAGATTGAACATAAAACAGTTGTTCACTTTACAATACTGTTACTAAAAAAAGTGTACTTTTTTATTAAAAGCAAAAGTTCTTGTGTTTCAAATACATGGGCCAGACGTGACCATCGAACAGGCCAGGGGGGTCTGGCACCATGTAGTTCCTAGAATATTGGTTCATTAACTCTCTTCCCTTTTTCTCACATCAGACGCAAACATTTTGTTAAAGACTTGCTTCACTGGTAAAGACTGCCATGACAGTTATGGGAAGTATTGAACACCAGTCACTCCCATATGTGAGCAATCTGTTTCTTAGCAAGTACAGAGAAATTTGTCTGACCGCACTCATGAGTAAGAGTGTGAGTGTTTACACTATCAGGTGTTTTAAAGAACCTAAACGCAACCTCAACAGTTTCACAAATAATCTTTGCATTTCTTAATCAATTTCTTTAACAATGTTGATTAAGTTTTCAGGAGTTCTACAACAGATTCATGGCGTTGTAATGACTGTTTATGTAATATATGTGCAATATGCTGCTGTGATTTTCTGTAGTATGTGCTGCATTCTTTGTATCATGTTTTTATTACAACCTCTATACGGGCAGCTATATTAGTATGTGCAGCATTTGAGTCCAAGACAAACATCCCCACAAGGAGAATAATGTGTGTGATATCTTAAACCATTAGTTTTTTGTTCAATGTTGATCTTTTTTTATTTAAGTTTGGAACAACTGACACAGATCTGTGTTTGGAGTGAACTCTGCCACAGAACATGTATCGTCTTGCACAAAGGGAGGCAGGTGATTCATGCCTAAGTGACATTTGTGCACACTTCCTCAGGAAGTCAATGAGGAAACTAAACAGGATGAAGAGGATAGAGGGCATCCTCTGCATTGTTACAGATGGTCGTGAAGAGGTGGTGGTTCTTAAATGTTCTATTGCTGACCTGCTGTTCATTTGGTACCACAACGTGAGACAGGAGGGGGTGTCTCTCAGGTGGATCCACTCAGACAAAACCTGAGCTAGACTTCTGTGGTTTTGGTGCAGTGATGAGCTCAACAAGAACTGACCTGAAAGCAAAATAGAAATCACAACAGACGAGTTAATGAAGGCTTTTATTCATTGCAGACAATCAATGGTGAATCCCTCACACTGCTGCTCATTAAACTAGTAAAAGACTGCTGCAGACGAACTGTTTATACAGTTATTATTTTAAAGGGTCTTTCACAGAAGAGTCATAAAGAACAATCTCGTTGGAGCACAGAGGACGTAATGTCAACAACGGGACATGAATTAAGGACAAAAAAAGTAACGTTCGTAAGTAACAGATGGGATGGATTAACATGAGCTGCACTGGCTCATATTAATTATAAATTTCAATGTCGTGGCTATGAATAATTTAAACTCTACATGCACACATCAGAATTCAGGCAATAAGTAACAAATTAACTATAATCATTTTCACACACCCACTCCTGAAAATGTCAGGAAAGCCTGCCCCGGAAGTCTTTCTATCTTCCTGAGTTGCTCTTTCATACATGTCCCTCACGGCAGGAGATTTTTCCTGTTGGACAGGGGGTGGGGAGGGGGATGATAAAAGGACACAACAGGATGCTACGGAAGTCTCCTTGTATTGTTTAAAAACATATCCGAGATGGAGCAACAGAGTTTGGATTTTATGACGACAGTGTATGGCAATGATACGTGTAATGTAATTGGATGAAATTGCCGTGTGAACAAATGAGCGGATGAGAACAAAGTGGCGAGCAGAATAGAGTACAAAGCAGCTTCAGTACGTGCGTGAAGATTCCACTGATTGCACACCAGTCACATGATAATGACATCAACACCTCTGCAGGGATGCTCATGAAACATTTTTCCTGAATACAGCTCATGATTTTTGCAAATTTTTGAGGAGGTTTGTGCATGTGTGTGCAAAAGGCTAGTGTTTCCTGTCACCATTTTGTTAGGTACAAAGTAAGTAAAGTTGTACCCTCTGGAGTCTGAGTGGTGTGGTCTGTTAGTGGCCCCAGGAAGTCTCCACGGGCCAGCACCCAGTCATGACCATTGTCTTTGTGAATGTTGATCCAGGTGCACTGTCCAGACTCAAAGTCACAGCTGCCTGGAGGAGTGCAAGCCCCATCCCTTATGGAAACATCATCTAATCTCACCGCGGCGCTCGAGTCAGGCCCGTGAACTGCTTTAAACACCACCTGATGAAGTACATACGTTTTTTTTAAGAAAGCAGCGTCACAGTGATTATTGCTGTTCATTGGCTTAAAATAAAGTGTGTTTTGGGAGAGAGTGAGAAAAAAGGGATCATTGTACACAACCACTTACATAAAATTTTGCAGGAGAGGACACAGTGACTTCTGCCACCTCCCACCCAGTGGAGGGGGATCCGGATCGATGCCAAAGTGCGTCGCCTGTCTCTGCGTTCCGCATCACGTGCACAGAGAAGCTGTTGGAAAGCCCTGCGGGTAACCAGTACCTGAGCAAATACAGTCCATAAACAAATGTTAGAATGTGCATCAGACAACAGCTTGCGTGTGTGTGACGGCAGCAATGCACTCACCAGAAGCGAACACACATCTCTTTAGCTGAGGTGAGAGCAGGTGTGAGCAGCTGAGCTACTGCATTCTGTCTCCAATTCGGTGTCATCACAGTCATGTAGAAGCCTTTACAGGGCAAAGAGAGTTGAAGCTGTTTCGAGTCCTGTGAGACCAACCATTATCCTGCTTTCTCATTTGGTTGATTACAGAGTACAACTCACCATTTTCAGTTCCGAAGGTGTGATCCACCTGATGTTTTGTGGCTTTTTTGCGACCCCAGTGACCTTTCTGTCCCACATTGTTCTCAAAGCCACACCAGCTGGATTCAAAACCGCACAAATCTATAATGGAGTTTAGAAAAAAGCGATCATTTGCAGTAACCTCTGGTATGTTGTGACTTCCTGTGTACATCAAAAATCTGTGTTTACTTACCCTTATTATTACAAAACCCCTCCCTCACTGTTATGTCATCAATAGCGATGAATCCTTTGCTGCTGGAGTTTCTATGGCTGGTGAACATTAACTGTGATTAAAGAAGAACAGCAAAGTCAAGATACATTCAGTGGAATAAGTTTCAAAGGTTTCTTTGTTTGTTTTGATTTAATTCCTGCAGAAAAATCTGCCCATATGTGTTTTTTTGTAAGTACAAAGGTTTGATTGCAAATTCAGCCAATAACTAGGCAGAAAATCAATTGAAAAGTCTAAATATTTAAAAACAGTTTATCCACAAGACAGAATATAGAGATTAGAGACGCTTGTGTTTTATCTGTAAAATACCCTGAATAATCATATTTGTGGTGATGTGATGCGTTTATGGTTAAAAGAATCAGCTGGTGAATCTTTTAATCAAAATTTATTTTTCAAACCCTCAAACTTAAAATAAAAAAGCTGAAGGTGTTTGAGTAAAATGTTACCTGTGTAGTATCGTGCGTGCTGATGGATACTTGTGCTTTAATCCACCCTGGATTCTGGGTCCCTCTGCGAGTCCAGACTAAATCTTCAGCAGATTTCTAGAACAGAGCCAACCATGACAGCTAAATATTCATGACCCTGAAAGCAACACCTGTTTCAAAAGGCTGAAGGCCAAAGATGCTACTTACTGTCTGAACCAGCAGGTCCAGGCTGGATACTGAAGGCCCGAGCATGTAAAACCAGAATCCAACACAGACATCTGATGTTACATCATTGATAGGAACAGAGATCACTGCTTTATCTCCATCCTTTAGTCCAGATCCATTCAGCAGTAAGAAGAAACCTTGTTGAACGGAGAGAAAAAAAGAGAGGTTGACAGACTGTGAGGAAAATCACTTAACGAAGCTACACACAGTTCTTTTTTTTATCCATATCATTGTTGACAAGTCAGAGCTAACATCCAAATCAGTACTGACATGATTTTTTATATTAATGTTCTAATTTAAAGGGGCTATATGTAACTTTTTACATTTATAAATCATTTTTTTATATCCCATTAATAAGCGAACGGTTAACTGATGTGAAAAAGTAGATGTTCACTGTCTATCTGTGTTGCCTGTACAAAAAGTTTCCCCAGCTCGTATTTTCCGTGAAAGCTCCAGGAAGTGACATTTTATGCACGTTCTCAACGTCCTCCTCACTCCGCTTCGCTTACAGAGATCAACAGTACAGACTCATCACACACTCCCAGTCTTCACCTGCACAGCCAGAGGCCGCCTTCCACACACTTCTATCCGCCCTAGGAGCTCTCAAAGACAGACAAACTCATCACACACTCCTGCTCTCAGCCAGTGCCTGCAGAGGCTGTCGTTTGTAGGATGGAGAATGAATACAGACACACAGACTCCTTCACAGACTTTCACATGTGTATGACCACTTACCTCCTCTGTAAACATTATGCCGGTAAATATCCAGTGTTTTGCAGCCGATGATGATGGCTGACGGCCATGTGGTATCGCTGCAGTATTTTTGAAAGTTACATATAGCCCCTTTAAATAAAGTCTGACACTTTTTATGGTTCAAAAATAATTGTTGTGGTTTCTGCTCTACTACGCAGATGAAACTGGAGGCAAAAATGATTGTAGGCTGAACCAGGTTAAACTGGCCTATCCACCAGAGCAATGTGTAACCACATTTCACACTGACATGTGGTAGTTAACCTGCAGGGAGGGCCGGAGGCTGGCGGTGGTCAATACCTTGATTATTTCCAACAGTGTGATCATACTGAGGTCCATCCCATGGCTGGTTGACTTGAAGTCCATTACTGAGAGTCCAGTTCAAACCATCACTGATCTCCTGGACCCAGCTGCATAGACCTGTTTTAAAAAGACAGGATTGAGAATCACAAAATACGGTTTGATTTGCAAAGAAAATGGGATTAAAAAAAAAATACATTAATTGCTGTTAGTTTTAAAAGATCCTAATTCAAATCGTGCTTCACTAATAAACTCAAATGTAACACAAAAAATAAGAGATAAAGTTAAAATATGTTGACACTCATTTTTTTCCTAAACATTTAAAACTTCAACAACATTTTTTTGTTTAATAAGTTAAAATAGTGTTTTTTTTTCTTGTATTTTCAAAACACATATTAGGAAGTATGGGCTTTCAACTCTTGAGACAAAATATGAATCAAGTCAAAAAGTCAGGAAAATCACAACTTGATTTTATTGATGATTTTTTACTTTTATAATGACTCTGTAGTCTGCCATCACAGCACTAAGCAACATTTATCAAAGTTACAGTGGAAAGGAACATCTTGCTTTAACAGGCAGAAACCTGGAACAGAACCAGACTCATGTTGAGCAGCCATCTGCCGAAACTGTGTTGAGTTGAGAGAGGATAGAGGGATTTTCAGAAAGAGAGAGAGACCATACAACATTATTGACAACGACTATTTTCTCTGAGTCACCTTGTTCAAAGGTGCAGTCCATGGCGGAGGCAGAAGCAGTGGTGGTAGGGGAAGGATTTGGGGTGGTGGTGGGTGTCATGTCCTCACAGGATGTGTCCCTGATGATGTGGACGTCGTCCAGAGCAAAGCTTCCATCCTTTGACTTTGGACAACTGGCTTGTAAAATAATCTGTGACATGGAATGAGAGCTCCTAAAGAATTGTACTAATTACCTGTACAGCACTGCATGAAATGATACATTTCCCCTTACCTGGTGGCGCCCTGATGCATTGTAATCCACCCTGTCTTGGATCCATGTACTGTTTGTATATCCCTGTGTACTCCACACACGACGCAGTTCAGTAGTCTCATTCACAAACACTGTCAATGTAATGCTTGAAGGCTCTGGAAAATAATAAAAAAAACATTATTTTCATCTGTTAACAAGCCTCTGAAATGTTATTCTTCAGGAATCTGGAGTTAATGACAGTGCAGCTTCACTGGTGTTCAAACCAGTGAGCATCAAACCCTTACCATATATTTCGTTTCTCACTTTAGTAGCTTTCAGGTCAGGACAAGTCCTTCTATCCCATATGTTCTGTATAAAATTATTTATTGTAGCGATACAATCTCTTTTTGATTTTGTTTACGTGGTGGGGATGATGTGACACCTAACTTTCTGTTGAGTGTGACGGTGTCCCAAATGCTGAAATATTTTTAATTGAGAGCAGTGTGACTGCAGCTACAAAAAAAGCTGATAACAAGGGCATATTTTCACTAAGGAGGGCTAAAAACACTGAACTGCATTAGCTCTGTATTGTAAATAGGCACAGCTAGCACAACATTTTTTGTTAATGGACACAGGCCCTAAATGTTAATATCTAAATCATTAAAATCAATGTCTTTGTGACTCTCGTAAAGTGTAGGTGTAATGTTGACATTCAGACCAAATATAAACGAGGTGTAACAAGAGTGAAGTTCATATAACCAAATCAGTACTTGTGACACAGAAGAGAGACCATACTTACTATTAATGTTCCACGCTTCAGCGTGGTGCCAGATCTCCAGACAAGCTCGGTCCACTGCCTCCATCGTCTCACTCTCCAGTCGGGCAATTTCCTCTCTATCAGGCTCAAATGAAATGAAGAAAGCAAAATGGCCTACAGGGAGAAAAAGAAAAAACTTGAAATATCCAGGAACAGTTTCCTGAATGTGCCAACAGTTGCATCATTTCAGGTTCCCATTATGGCTGCAAGTTGCATGTTTGGTTAGAATATGTGCTTTTGTGAATGATCAAACGTCAGACTCTTTATTAGGGTTGTGTGTGTGGTCACTTACCCAGGGCAGAATTTGTGGTGTGGTCTCTATCAGGAATGAAACGACCGTCAATGTTACCTGAGAGCCAGTCCCAGTCCACTCCGGACTCTGCTGGAGGACTGTTCACCCAACCACACAAGTCCATTTCAAAGTCACAAAAACCTGCAAGCAATAGCATGGATACAATACAGAATCATGCATTTCTAAATCATAAGCAGCTCAATTGATTTTTTTTCTCAAGTAGAAGCTTTCACTTACCGGGTGGGGGGCAGGCGTCATTTAAGACCGTGAGGTCGTCAAGAGCGATATCTCTCCACGGATTCTCCCCAACTACTGCTTCAAACACAACCTGTCAATCAGAAAGAAACTGGATTTATAGTCAGAGAGCAACCTCTGATAGTCAGTATCTTTGGCAAATCAAGAGTTGCATTTCTAGCATTTCTTTCTCTTTGTGTTTCAACAACTGAGCTGTAGCAGATAAAAAAACATGCAAAAGAAAGGAATAGCACACCAAAGAGATGTGCTTGTGTTTTTTCCAAACACAGACTACTAAAAAAATATATAATATACCAGTACTCCACATATGGAGAGGGAAGAACAATGAAAGCAACAAACAGCTCTTAAGAAAGGTGATTATGTCCATCCATCCAATAATCCATTATCTATACTGCTCGGGGTCGCGGGCGGCTGGAGCTGATATAGAGACAGACAACCAGCCACACAAACATTTACACCTATGGGACATTTACAGTCACCAATTGAGCATAACAAGCATGTCTTTAGAAGCTGGAGTACCCAGGCATGCACATGGAGAACATGCAAACTCCACACAGAGAGGCCCTCTCTGACGGGGATTCGAACCAGGAACCTCCTCGCAGCGCTAACCAAGTCCAAGAGACAAATCAAATGTACGTCTTTTATAACAACATTGAAAATTACTGATTTGATGGAGTATAGAATCTAAATGAATGTATGTAGGTGTTTACTTTTTATTTCCTTCAAATGAGCTCAAAGCAGAAGGAAACAAGTATTCAGCACCTGGATAGAGGTTATAATCCACAACATGTGCATTGATGCATGTCATGTATTATTATGTGCCATCATCTGATGACTCACCACCAGGTTGTAGTAACAGTACATACCTGATAGGGGGTACTGGGGCTGAGGAGCGTCACTCTTCCATGTCTCCAGTGCTCCCCCTGATCTCCTCTTCTGGTCCACAGCTGGGTAGAGGGTCTGTTGTTGTCGGATGTTTGTAGGTAAACATTAAGTTCCCCCACTCCACTTCCCTCCATGTAATACCAGAACATTAAACACTCTCCTTCAGGAGGGGTGGGCTCCATCAGCGCTGTCATCACCGCTCCTGTGGACCCCTCGGAGTGGCTCCACAGATGGGCACTCAGGTAATAACCTACAAATACGACAGAAATATGCACAAAAGTATGTAAAAAATGTCTTTAATATATCATGGGATCAACAATCTACACTGACTTATATAACAAACAGGATACAGCATCTCATGTGAAAAAACAAACTTTTATTTTGAAATGTTCATTACTCAGACATCCTACAGATGAATCAGAGCACGGTTTTAATCGTAAAAACTAAATAACAAAAAATAATATCATAATAAAGCATTTCTGTATCTATCCTCTGTTAGTTATTAAGATACAGACCCTTTGAAATATAGGATTTTAAAGTAGATTTACCAGTGATAACAATGTGACCTTGTTTTTCATGACTAAACTACAGCCATATTGAGCTGGTGATATGTGTTGCCACACTTCCAAGATGAACCAAAAGAGCTCAAAGTTTATATTCACAGGCTAAAACAAACAAATACAACAAGCTTTTAAAAGTTTTGACAAAGCAGGTAACCAGCATAGCAGCAAATCTAGAAGTTTGCAAACCTTGCTCTGTCCCTAGCGTGTGATCTGCGGCGGGGCTTGAGGAGTTTGAGGGTTTTGTCGCGCCGGTGATGCGGCTCCAGGTGAAGTTGGCAGACGGCTCAGGCAGCAGACCACACAAAGAGCCCTGGAAGGTGCACTCTCTCTCTGCTGGACAAGATCCATTCTCACCGCTGGTAACCATTATGTCATCAATGGCTATGCTGCCTTGTTCCCCACCTACCACAGCTTCTATTATGAACTGGAAACATTACAAATATTTGAAGAGCAAGTTCAACTTCACTGTAAAACATGTTCATTAAGCCTGCTGTTTTTAAAATGAAAGTTGATGGAAAACATGTGGAGAGTGCATGTTAGCTGACCTGTTGTAAGACTCATTTGGAAAAGACAATTTGTGCGGAAAAATACATACATAAGAGATTCTGTTTCATAATCTTGCAGCTTGATGGCTCTTTTTTTATTGACTCTTAACTGGAAATAAAACATCTTCTCATTCAAAATAAATCTCTAAATAACTGTGTTTGTAATGATCAGTAAATGAATTTACAAAATGTAACAATAATAAGAATACCTGTGTTGGCTTTTCACTTTTGAAGGTCAGATCTGCAAATCTCCATTTGTTTCCTTGTGTGTGACTTCTCATCCATACGACAGTCTCTGCTTCGTCAGGACGCTTTGTTATAATCTTCAATGAACCTAAAAACAAGATAAACACGCACAATCCTTGCATTAGAAGGATGCATGTGTTTTTTTGGAGAAGCTAAAAGTGGCACAAAAGAATTCTAATTGTACGGCTCATTTTGTGACCGAGAGAAGCATTTTCTGTGTGTGTATCTCTAGGTTTGAGTAGTTATTTGAAGTGTAGCTGTAGCCAGAGAGGTGCGCACCGATGCTGTTGCCAAATATGTGATACCAGAAGCTCACACATATGACTGGACCTGCAGGCTGAGGGAAGCTGATGAGTCTGGCTGCTGATGAGCTATCCACCATGAGTTTAGTACTTATGAGCATGTAGGAACCTGTGGAGGAGAAAAACAGTCAAATCATGAACTCTCTCTTCACTCAATTCTGTGTCAACTGCATGATGGACAGACAAAACAAACAAGAATTAATTCACGACTTTGTTATGAAAAAAAAAAACAATCCTTGACCATAAAGAAATATGTAGTCGTATATTTCCAATCCCAAATTGGGGAATGACACGCGGGAAAGCAGCCACAGGTCAGATTCTAGCCCGGCCGCCCACGTGGAGGAAAAGCCCCCTTATCTGTGCATCCTTTTAATTGAATGAATACATGTTAATTTAGGTCACTTATTGGGAGACAATAAGTCAGGTTCAGGTTCAGGTTACTTTATTTGTACCTGTAGCTACATTTGGTCACATATACTTAATAACCACAGATAAAACATAAAACAAACAAAGTGCAAATGTATGGTACATGGGTAAAAGTGCAGAAGTGCATAAAGTGCTCATTTTCCATATATGTTATGTAATATATTATTATTTATTTGGTTGCATTAACATGACCAACACAGAGTTATTTACCTCACGCAGAGTGAGGTCCCCTGGCAGAGCACTGCCGGCTGTTCTAGGATCCAGGCCTACAGGGGACAGAGCTTTTGCTGTTAGAGACCCCCAGACTTTGGAGAACAGCCTGCATGAGGAGCTCAGACTTGCAGGGTCAGTCCCTTGTTTTATTTCTCTACTTTACAAAAAAGCTTTCACTCTGTCATTTGGTTTTTATTTGTAATTCTTTAGTCTGTTAGTCTACGTTTATTTGACTGTTTTTCTTCCTGCCTGTCTGTTTGCGCTTATTGTCTGTTTTTAAAAGTGATGTACAAATAAAGTATTACTATTATTATTATTATTTAATTTGACTTTTAATGCTTTTTTATCACCTTGCATGCTTGTTTGTATAGCTTGGACGGATTAAAATGATTGAATCTTTTTATGTAAAAGTAAAGCTAATGTGGTTTAAATAAACTAGAAGAAAACATGTAAACAGAGCATGCTCACACTGGTGTATAAAAAATGTGAGCCAAACAGGCTTTTGCCCCGTGGCCCGAAAGGTTTCAAGTTTGCTGTTGGGCAGTTACATTGAGGTCATTTAAGTTTCATGAGCATCACTGATGCTTATCATTAACTAAAGAGGCGCCTGGAATCTACAACCAATTTATTAACATGAAGTTTAGTTTTTAGGCTTCAAATCTCATGGGACGTTTTTACTCAAATGTGCTTTTTCAACAAACCAATAATTTATTGTGTAAACACAACGGTCCTTTACTGTAAATATGATTCTCACCATTGCCAGCAGGGCCCTGATCATATCCCCCATCACTCCTTTTCCACAGCAGGCTGGCAGTATAATCATGGTACCATGAACAGCTGTTATCTTCAAAATCACACGAGAGTCTGTCTGACCCTGCGGGGACGTCTCCCTCTAAGCAGTACTCAAAGATGATGTCATCCAACATTACATCCTTTACTTCTAAAAAAGGTTGGCTGAATGAAAACTGCAGCTGTAGGAAGAGAAATGTTGGACACAATGGTTGTTCAATATCTAAACTGATGAAGGAAGAAAGAGATTTTTGTTACAGGGTTAAAGAAGGATGAAGTCTGAGAAGTATGGCAGATCTAATTTGCCTTCAACCTCAGCATGTTTACCAGCAGAATATGTAGCAAGCAAGCTATCAAATGAAACAATAAAATCTCTTTAATGATTCCCCCCTCAGGAAATTAATTACAGTGTAATTACAGGAAGCGGAGCAGATCAAGACACAATAAAGTTTAGCGGTATTGTACTATAAAATGGTATTGTATCTAAATGTAATTAAAGCTTCAAACAGATACAAAACAATTAAAAAAGAGCTTTAAAAAGCAGATTTTAAGAAAGTAAAACCTAATGTCCTCTACATGGTAAGGTCACTCCACTTTGTAAGACACTTAGGATCTTAACTCAGCAGTTCCCATAATGCTTAAGGTATGTTAGAGAGGGATATTATGCGCTATAATTTGGACTGATGTTTTTGCCTCTGGCGCCTTATTGTTCTCATTTTGACAAATTGGCACAATAAAAACAGGCAGAATAACCATCAACTAGTTATTCATTTTTGCAATGAACAAATGATTGCATACAGGAGTATTACGGCATAATGAGTACGATCTACACATGGGGGGTGAAGTTTGAGAAATCTCAAGGCCTTCATAACACCCTGTGAACTGAGATTATACCAAAGTCTGACAATGAGGAGAGGAGACACATCCTTATTGTGGAAGGCTTTCTTCTTTACACCTACGAACCATTGAACCAATGTAAAAAAAAAAAAAAAAAATCAGATATAGGGAAGAAGAAAGAGTAGGAAGTTATCTAGGCGTAATCCTTGGCCATGTCGAGCCCATGTCTTTGAAACACAAGAGCATCAATGAATTATTTTTATATTTTTTTTATCATTTGTTGGTGTAATTATAGATGTTTACATGGAGTGGACATATGACATAATAACATCCTTAGAAAGAGACACCCAAACTTACAGTATGTGTTCTGCCTCTATCTGTGTGTATAATAAGATTTGACTCCATGGAGTTGTAAAAACATAAAGGCATCAGCCTCTTTGACCTCACTTGTTTAATAGTTTGGTAATAGCTCACATCAACCTCTCTGGGTGAAGCCTGAAAACATAAAGAATATTTCACTTACCTTATATCCTCCTGGCTGATTACCAAGGAAGGCCGTGGATTTCTCCCAATCGTCAGTGTGACTTTTAGAAATCGTATCCAGTGTTGTTATTAAGGAGCCTCGGACCATTGTTAATGTAAGGGGCGATGAAGATGATGAAGACTTGTTATCGTAAATGTGGTACCAAAAGCTGAAACACATTGACCATGATATTTAAAGGCAACAACTTACAGACAAGTCAATACTAGAATCACAATACTAATCCTTGTGATTCTAGTGATATTTATTGTATTGTCAGAGGTGGGATCATTTTTAGTACCTGATCTGGCAACCCAAAGCTGCCTGGTTGGACACAGAAAACTCTAAAATGGCCTTTGAAAGGAAATTGCCTTGTTTGCCATCTACATGCATGACATGACCTGAATCCAGCAAAGAAATATGAAATAATAACAGTGTGACACAGGCAGATCTTGTAATCTCATTAAACATCAACTGAAATTAGTAATGCTGTTTAAAGTAAAGGATTATCAAAGGAACGTCACAAATGTAAAAAAACTGATGGTGAATATTTACCACTTTGACTTCCTGTCGTGTGGTCCTGTCCAGGTATTAAAGTGACGTTTGCCATCTGCCGTCTCCAGCGATAGGAACCATCACTGGTGTCGTTCCATCCGCAGGAGTGAAGCTCAAAATCACATGACCCTTAAAAAGCAGTGGAGGTAAAATCAGATAAATAGTCAGAAAGTGTAAACATTTACAGATTATAAAATGAATCGAGGGCATAGGGTTCCTGCTTTTTCACTTGATTTAATTTGTTTAAAGTTTTGTGTTGTCAAAATGATATATTTTGGGGGGCGCCAGTAGCCTAGAGGTAAGTGCGTGCACCCGACGTTCAGAGGCTAAAGTCCTCAAAAGAGGACGACCCAGGTTCAAATTTGACCCGTAGCTCCTTCCTGTATGTTTTACCCACTCCCCCCCCCACTTTCTGACTCTATACATTTTTCCTGTCTCTCTTATGATTTATTTGTTGCTAACTAAATATGACCTGGAAAAATTGCAGCATACCACAAAACTCCTCGTCTGAGCGATCTTTACAATCCCTCTTGAAATCAGAGACGGCTCGAGCAGGAAGACATTCTTTGGATTTACAGCTGAACTCCTCATCAGTGCGAGAGGACGCAATGACTAACAGCACTGAGAAGAAAGTTTTATGACAAAGAGATAAAAAAGAGAGAGGGAGAGAAATATGAACAGATTGCACATTTCCAGAACACCATTGTCACTGCACTACCTGTGTAGTTTATTGAGGGTTACACATTAGATGAATCCTGCCACCTCTTTGAACTCCTTAGTAAATCAGAATCCATATGAGTAAAATACACTTTCTCCAAGTTACACACTGACACAGATTAATGACTACGATAAAGCTGTGAAGCCCCTTACCTGAAAGCAAAACAAATACTTCCTTCATTTCTGGAGAAAAATGTTACATGGAAAGAAAGTCCAAAAGAGAACAGAGATCCTTGCAACATAATCGCCAATACGGCTTGTGCTCTGATTAACACTTTCCGCCTGTAATATTTGAGTGCAACTTTTATTGCAACAATTAAGCTCTGGACGTGACTGCTTATCTACAAATCCCTGCTTAAAGTCCAGCACGTACTCAGTCAACTGCTGCACATTTCCGCTGCTTGTTTTTATGATGCTCACTGCAGGGATGCACCTCTGTGACTTTAACAAAGGACGTCTCGAGATTACAAGATGTTAATGTTCTATAAATGTTCGAGATAACAATAAAAAATGACCATTTTTGAAGCCTCTACGTTAGAATGAGCTAAAATGAGCGTTGTCCTTAACTCAATAGGTACTTAATTTAGAATGAAAAGAATGAATAATATCAATAGACCACTTTGGACTTTGTTCTTGCATTTACTGTTTTTTTATTTTTTTATTTGAACAATGTTTTTTGCATTTACATTAAGATGGGTAAGCCCTCATTTCTAAAGTGAAGTCAAATAAGGTAATTTACACTGTCAACTTCTGTATGTGGTATGCGGAAAAGCGTTACAGGATCTTATCTTATCGTAAAAATTCCTGCATGTACTCTTTTGAATTTGTGAGGTCACCAAGTATTCTGCAAATCAGTGGATGAAAATGAATTAGTTATATATCACGTTAGTTATGACCTTTGCTGGGCTTAAAACCCCATACAATAGTCTTAACCCCAAACCTCTACAAACCAGAAGAAACCAGCTCACATGTCAGGCCAACAAGCTTGTAAATAATGTAATTTATAATGTCATGTTTATAACATTAGGTTGAATGTGCTTTCAAAGGACAGACGATAACATCATCTCATAAACGCCACATTATCAATTTGTTCTGAGCAAGGATTTTAAAGATAAGAGGACTTTCTGGATATCATGGGAGAGATAGCAGGAGTGGGTCTAGGGGGGTGGACTGGGCCCCCGCTAGAAATGTGATTTGCCAACCCAGGTGCCACCCCAAAAAATCCTAAACTGTGATGGACTATTTTTGGACCAACCAACTATTGGGAATTATTTGTGTGCAAATGCTGCTAGTAGTTTTCTTGACATACCATATGGTATAGTAGATATTATTGGTGAAGTGTGAATGAAAGTGTGAATAATAGATATTTATCTGTCTGTGTGTGTTTCTGCGCACATCATACGCATAAGAGTCAGTGCTATGTATCAATGCATCTCTACTTACTTTATCATCACAAGGCAAAATTAAAGGGGCCTGAACATGTTTATGGATCAACATTTGTAATTATTATATTTGGACAAAGCTTGCAGAAAGTAAACCAGTATAAAAAATGAACTACTCCTACTTACAGGCCTTTAAAACGTTAAATGCAGGGAAATAGGTGCACAGTCCTCAACTTTAAAAAAAGAGAATAACTAAAGGGGAAGTGAAAATATAAAACGCTATGATGGATGTTAAGGAAGAGCTGAAGAGCAAACCTCAACATCTGAATGTTCTCCCCTCAAACAGGATATTGTGTTGCTACACTCAGGATGCACACAATTTATCTTAGTCAGCAACAGTGCAATATCACTCAGCTCTAATAACCTCACAAGCAATCTCTCTACCCCTTGTAGCTATTATAGCATTTAAAGTGTATACTTGTGTTGGTAAATTACTACCTTAAGAGCTCTTTTTTTTATTGCAAGCATGCATTGTGCTTACTTGGATGTTATTAGCAGGTTGCATGGCTTTATCTATGAATTAAGAAGTTGGTGGCAGAAAATGAATGTGTTTGGGAATTCCTCTTATACCCTCCATTCACAAATAGAGATTTAAATTCACAGGAACTCTTTTGCCTGTCATAAGTCTAAAGTTTGCATGTTTATTCTGACCAGATAATTTACAAACTCAGTTCTGACTGGGTCTGTTATTTTCTCACAATGCTACTATTTTGGATCAAGTGAAGGCTGTTAATATCCTGGATATCCTGAGAACTTTAATTTCTTATTTAAGACTCAAAAGCTCCTTCAAGTTATGTAACTTAAAATGGGAAAGCCAATGAAAGAAGGCCAACTAATTTTAAGAAGTACTTCATAAAGTTTTGTGGAGTAGAAAACTAGTGTGATGCAGTTTAAAAGGGAAACTAAACAAAGTGACTGTCACCAGGTCTACATTTCGCATTAGATAAGCAATATTATCGAGTGTACTAAGACGTAAAGATGGGGGGAGCTTTGTTACAGCGCTGTTGTGGAATTACCCAATTGAAATGAGCTGTTATGGGGCGCTGGTGGTGCAGTGGTTAGTGCGTGTGCCCCATGTATGGAGGCTATAGTCCTCAAAGCGGACGGCCTAGGTTCAAAACCAGCCTGTGGCTTCTTTCCTGCATGTCATTCCTCACTCTCGCTCCCTGATTTCCAGCTCTATCCACTGTCCTATCTCTTTATTAGAGGCACAAAAGCCCAAAAATAAATCTTTAAAAAAAAACAAAAAAACAAAAAAAACAATTATGTGATTGTTTTGTGATATATAACTTATCACAAAGTTGCTGAATCTTGACATTAATGTATCGTATCATGACTTACCCTGAGAGTCCAACCTAGATAATGGCATATCTGCAATGAAGGGCATTTGCAAGAACCTTTCCCATTGTTCTGTGGGAGAAAAAGTGTAAGTCATAACTCTTGGATGTGTCATGCAAATCAAGAGTGCATAATTATGTCTTTTTTCCTACAGAATATTCATATAATCACAGTTTTTTTCATCGACTATCGAACTGTGAAGTAAAGTCGGAGTGGGCCGTCTTGAGCCCTTTGGTGAATGCTGCACTGGACCGTTGACTCTGATGAGTCACGTCTAGCATAAATCTCTTACAAATCTTTTTCTTGTTTTTGTTGCAAGACAAGAAGTGAATGGGGGCACTTTTTTTTCTCTTTTCCCCATTTCCGGAGAGTCACATCCGTGCAAGGCAGAAAGTGTGTGAGTGTGTGTTGGTGTTTTGTGTATTTGGTTCCTACTTCCCCCTAAAAACCTCCCCTCCCCTTTTTTTTTTACCAGTAGCAAAATGTTGAAATGTGTCAATCTGCTACATGACACTTTCTCAACGAAAAGAAAAAAAACCTGACAGCATCAGTAGTAATAAGATTGTCTCTTTTTCATGTTCATGCTCATAAGTCTTCTACTTGCAATGCATGGAGCATGCCTGCTGCTCTAAGACTTATCAGAGGAATGCTGACCCAAAGGATAACTCTAGCAGCCTTTGTGCTCTTCATCACAACAGCTCAGTGCACAACAACAAATGGTACAGTATGCATTGAAGCTTTTATATATGACATTTCATGTTTGGTGTTTGTTAGCTTTTAATTTGCATTGATATTGATGTGAGGACCAGCAACCTTCATACATAAAAAAAAAGACAGGCTTCATCAATCTTTATATAGTTTTATATTGTGTTCTATAAATACAAGGTTTTGTCTATTTAAATCAAAAATCGAAATGGTAATCAATTAAAAACGTACACATTTACAAAAATATAACTTCATTTGGCATGTTGTGAACATTTGATCCCTTTGTCTCTGCAGATGCTTCATTCTCTCTCACTAACAGAGCTAATGGCGTTTGTTTGCTGAAAAGATCGAGTCGCTGCTTGGAGGTGCGCTGGACGACGGGCGATCGGCTTTTTTCTATCTCAAACAAAAAGTGCATCGGAGCGCAGGGCAAAAGTGTGGGGAGTGAAGTAAATCTCTACGACTGTGACGACAAGAGTGTCCTCCAAAAGTGGGAATGCAAGAACCAAACACAGCTTGCCCTCAAAGGCACAGATTTTTACATTGCTGCCAATACAGATGAATCCATTGGTCTCACCAAATCTCCGGGGCCGAACAGTCACTTCACTATCACAGGGACGTCCAGCAGTGCTTGCACAAGAACATACAGAGGTACAGTATAAAATCAACCCCCTGGTGTTTAAAGCCTTTTGGAGAGGTTGGAAAGGCAGAAGATCACAATAAATGAGCTATTAATCTTCAGAACAGATATGCTTTGGCTACTGGCGGTCATATAGATTTGATTATTATCTCTATTAATTTCACAAACACCCATTGACAAAGACTACAAGGTTAAACGAATAAATATTTGCAACGTTTTTTATATTTAACAGTTAAATTTAACATGATTTATTCTGGTCTTCTTTTCTTCCCTTTCAGAATTCTACACCATTGAGGGGAATGGGTTCGGTAAGATCTGCATGTTTCCCTTCCAGTACAAAGACCGCTGGTTTGGAGACTGTACTACTTATGACTCCTCAACTAAGCGTGCTTGGTGTGCAGTTGGAACAAGATATGAAAACGATCAGTGGGGATACTGTCCGACTTCAAGTGAGTACTGCACTTAAGATCTAATTCCCACAACAATAAAAAAGGAATCATGTGAAGCTTGGATGTACTTGTAAGTTCATGTTCTGAGTGGCTGAATAATTTTGTTTGACATTTCCTTTTTTTTGGTACAAAGACACAGACCATTGGACCAGAAACCTGATAACAGGAGCGTATTATCAGCTCAACACACAGTCAGTCCTGACCAGGTCGCAGGCTGAAACCAGCTGCAAACAGCAGGGGGCGGCCCTGCTCAGTGTGGTGGATCCCAATGAGCAGGCTTTCATCGCAGGTAAGCTGCCACCGGGTGGAGATTTTGTGGTACTGACACAAATAAACATAAAAGGTTTTATCATTAAATGAAAATGTTTTGATCCAAACAAACAGCTGTTTTTAATTCCAAAGGCATATATTGTATCATAACATAATAATGAAATATAATATATTTTAATGTCTTCAATATTTAACTTTGATTGATTATTATTTTCTATATTATGGAAGTTTCCTCTATGACATACACTACTGTACTGTTACATGGAAAAAAAGTACATGTCTTTTAGCTTCAGCAACATCTGTGATTTTAGCATGGCTTCTTTCTAAAAGGGGAAGTATTGTTTTTTGTTGTTTTGTTTGTTTTCAAGATTTACTTTGGGGCTTTTTACGTCTTTATGAGAGACACAGGACAGTGAATGGAGTC